TAACAGGAACATAACACTGACAATAGACCATTCACGCTTGTCTTGTAGGAATACGTACAGTGAAAGTTTGGAATATGCAAATTAAAATTGTAAGTCGACATATTTCTTCGCGTTTACAAACTTAACATTTATTCAAGGAGCAATGTCAGTTCTGTATTTCATGAAGTGATTTCATCTACGGCAAACCAACTGAACATTTATTTTAGGAGCAATGTCGATTATGTATTTTATGAAATATGTTATGACAATAGACCATTCACGCTTGTTGTGTAGGAATATGTACAGTGAAAGTTTGGAATATGCAAATTAAAATTGTAAGCCGATATATAGATGAGTAAATATAGTAAATGAGTAGTATTGTAAATGAGAATTTATTTTGTATTATAAAAGTTATCGTATTTGCTATATAAGCTATCTGATTATTTATTTTTATTTGCATTGAGACATCCTATACATTGTATAAGTTACAAAGTAACTTTTGCTGGTTCAGGAAAGAATCTGTCTGCATGTTGAACGTTATCCTCGATACTCCAGGGGTTACGCTCACTTTCGCTCTCTGCGCCCCTAGAATACGGCATAGCAAAATCGAAGGCTCGGTGTGTGCCATCTTGATACGAGAAGACTAGTTTGATCCTTTGATGTACATCAACAAAATCTCTTTGTAACGGTAAAAATTGTCTGACTTTGAAGACGAGTGTCACTCATCTGTTATCTTCGTCGGACAGGTATCAGCCTAGCGATTGGACAGGTTTTGATTTTACCTGAGACCAATCAAACTTCTAGCCGCGTACCTTTCATTTTGCTGCGACATATTCCAGGGGTCAGAGAGCGAAAGTGAGCGTAACCCCTAGAGTACCGAGGGTAGCCGAATGTAATCATTTTCCTTTTTCACAGTAAGATTTTATGTATCTATCCAAACGACTTCCATTAAGCCTTGATACAACTGCCCAAATTGATGTTAATATTTTAAAACCTGTCCAGACCGACATTTAAGTTTGTTATTAGTTAGCTTCACATATCTGAAAACTTTCCAGAAACCCTGTTCAAAGGGAAGCCACTCTTACCTATCACAGCGTACTCAAAACAGAGCTTTCAAACGCTCTTTACTTCTATACAAGAGATCACAAAAGGATCTTTGTCAGATCCACATCAGATGATATTTTACCTTCTTTGCTCTTTATTTTCCTTATATGTACTACTACCCAGTCCCATGTTAGAAATTAAAAAAAGTCTATGGTGGATGCGCAATTTCATAACATTCCGTGATGTTATGAATGCGTTAGATATGTTATAATGTTTATAACATGACTAGCCTGTAAAAAAATATTAAATGTCCAGAAAGGACATTTTAAATAACGTTTGTAGGTTTTACATATTGATAACGCTAAAATGTGTTACTCGGGCATGATACTGGGTTTTTTTTGCGCATGGCCATAGCCACAATCCCCTTGTTGTAGGACCGGAATGCCTCTCCACGGCTAAAAAAAGATGTATTAAGCTCCACATGACCTAGGTATATAAATGAACTTTAAATAATATGTCATTTCGTCGCATTCATTTGGGGCGATAAAGAAATTCACATATTATAATTTAGGCGAACTATTTTTACGACGACATCAGCCTTAATGTCTTATTATTGACTACAAAAACCTCGATATGGAACACTTCAATAATCAATGTACAAGTTCAATATATTCAAATTAGTTATATGAATTTCGAATATTGATTATGGTCTTTGAATATGACTTATTAGGGGGTTGATATTTAGAACGGCTATAGCCCCTTTCATGGGGGTTGTTGTATTTAATTTAGAAGTGCTGTCTATGATTTTTTTTTATCAAGTGTCGTTAATAATAATGCAGTGCCAACACATTAACTATTACAGCGTCAACACACATTTTACAGTGTCAACACATTAAATGTCACGACGTCAACATGAAATGTCAAAACGTCAATACATTAAATGTCACGGCGTCAACAAACATTTTACAGCGTCAACACATTTAATGCTAAGGCGACAGCATATTTAATGTTACAAAGTCAGCACAGTAAATGTTACAAAGTCAACACATTTAATGTCACAGCGTCAACACAGTAAATGTTACAAAGTCAACACATTTAATATTACAGCGTCAACACATTTAATGTTACAGCGTTAACACATTTTAATGATACAGCGTCAACACAGTAAATATATTAGCGTCAACAAAAAATGTCACAGCGTAAACACAGTAAATGTTACAAAGTCAACACATTTAATGTTACAGCGTCAACACATTTAATGTTACAGCGTGAACACATTTTAATGATACAGCGTCAACACAGTAAATATATTAGCGTCAACAAAAAATGTCACAGCGACAACACAAAATATCATAGCGTCAACAAAACATGTCACAGCGTCAACACATTAAATATTACAGCGTCAACACATTAAATATAACAGCGTCAACACATTAAATGTTACAGCGTCAACATATTTAATGATTCAGCGTCAACACATTTGATGATTCAGCGTCAACACATTTAATGATTCAGCGTCAACATATTTAATGATATAGCGTCAACACATTAAATGTTACAGCGTCAATATATTTAATGATTCAGCGTCAACACATTTGATGATTCAGCGTCAACACATTTAATGATTCAGCGTCAACATATTTAATGATATAGCGTCAACATATTTAATGATATAGCGTCAACACATTTAATGTTACAGCGTCAACATATTTAATGATTCAGCGTTAACATATTTAATGATATAGCGTCAACATATTTAATGATATAGCGTAAACATATTTAATGATAAAGCGTCAACACATTTAATGATTCAGCGTCAACACATTTAATGTTACAGCGTCAACATATTTAATGTTTCAGCGTTAACATATTTAATTTTATAACGTCAACATATTTAATAATATAGCGTCACCATATTTAATGATATAGCGTCAACACATTTAATTATTCAGCGTCAACACATTTAACGTTACAGCGTCAACATATTTAATGATTCAGCGTCAACATATTTAATGATATAACGTCAACATATTTAATGATATAGCGTCAACATATTTAATGATATAGCGTCAACACATTTAATGATTCAGCGTCAACACATTTAATGTAACAGCGTCAACACATTAAATGTTACAGCGTCAACATATTTAATGATTCAGCGTCAACACATTTAATGATTCAGCGTCAACATATTTAATGATATAGCGTCAACATATTTAATGATATAGCGTCAACACATTTAATGTTACAGTGTCAACACATTTAATGATTCAGCGTCAACATATTTAATGGAATAGCGTCAACACAAAATGTCACAGCGTCAATTATATAATACATGATCAAGGTATTAATTCCGAATTACCTTTGCTGCCTCAGACAATTATTTTCAGACACATCGTTACTCTTTATCAATTAAAACCACATCCCGCTGAATAATATTATATGCATTGTAGATATGGAACAAAGAAAAAAAATCAGATTATTTTTTAATCTTAAACCTGATAATATCAAGTGTTTTGCACTATTTAGAGAAGAAAGAAAATGATAATATAAAGGAGTAAGAACGAAAACAAAGATGGATAGGCATCTCAGAATTTTCTGTATGTATACATGAACTATTGTCAGGGATTATTGGTACTATTATTACAATTATTTTACATTTCAGTTGTGTAGTTTGCAGTTTTCTTTCCCATTATTATTTTTTATTATTTAAATTAGAGAGATACGTTTCACCTGTACCTGCAGCGATGTGCATTTGAGTTTTGTAAATATCTTTAATTAAATTTTTCAAAACTGTTAATTTGATAGACCACTTAGCAGACATCAGCTTTAAATCTAGAAAACCTAGAAACGTTTTATAGAAAAGATTCTTTATTAAAACCAATTGAATTAGTAACACGAAAATGATACAGCAACACCCTTCCAAAGTCTTCTAAAACTATACGTTCAGCGTTTTCTAACACGGGGGAAAATAATATGAAATAAGCATTCTTTTTACATGCACGGGCTCTATCGTGCAACGTATATATATATATATATATATATCGAAAAAAATAAGGTTAACGACCGACTAAAAAACTAGCTGCTTTCACCCTTCACAGGGCTCTTCAAGTTTTTTTTATATATATATATTATATAACAGAAAAATTCTCAACAACGAGTCTTCCAACGGATCGACTTGACATTATAATAATATATATACATATTGACATTTGCGATTTAATTATCAGCCGTATGATTATGCAGACGTGACTGAAGATTTTCCAACCAGTATTCTTTTGAAGAAAATTTACATCGATAACATGGTAGAATTAACCGCGACGATCGATTTGGTACAAGGCGTGTGTCTGATATATTTATAGCCTATATGACCTATATGGGACACAACCACATGAGATCAAGGATTAAATTTAAGTCCGTGATGTGGCTGTCTAATATTTAGCTTTAAATCATAGTTTAATATAACCCAGAGATGTTTACGTTACCTAATGAAATCGAAGAAATAAACACACCTGAATAATTGATCGATCCTTGTTCCGGCTAGACAGCTATGTGTATACAGGTTATTGTTCTAAAAATAGATTGGGGAAAATCCTGAATATTCTGCCGGGGTTTTATGAAGAGGTAGAAAAAACGATTTCTCTACGTCGAAGTGCTTTAATCACATATAAAATGAATTAGAAGAGATACACTTAAGTGAACTAAGGTACCTTCAGGATTACTTTTGTTCAAAAGTGTCGTCCTAACGTCTATATTTCTCAGATAACGTTTGCTAGCGTACCGACGTTGACAGCTTCTCGGACCATCAAACGACGTTATGAGCCAGGTATGGTCAATATATTTTTGTGAAAAACATTTTCCCCAACCAAGTGACCGTGACCTATTTTTTATGCAAATTAAATGTTAATGACCTCTGACGTCATGAATAAATTATGCAAATTAGTTTATGATAACGAGGTCATCACGTGACCAAACGTCATCGTCTGTATGCCGCCATTTGCAGAGAACAAGAGAGAAATGGCAAACTAATCATAAGTCGATCTTTTCTCCATCTCTTCATCGAGACGTTGAAGTCTTGGTGTCTTCATAACAACAGTAAGTATACATTTGCTTGTTCTGTGTGTTTTCGGGATTGTGCAGACTGTGGACTATAAACATGGTCGGTTCGATTGCATGGTCAATTCATTCGTGTTTTAGCGCCATCTTCGTCCGAAAATAAATGTCGCGGATGACCGAATATACATGCATTGTGTATTCTGTGTTATACCGTGAAAAGTTTCAGTTAAGTGTAAAGACGCACATGTTTAACTAGTATATTCGGTATGTTACAAATACATGCCGATTTCCCATTCAGATCGTCTCTGGTGAAAAATAAACACAACGCAACGCACATGCACCGGTGTGTGATAACCAGTATGATGGCCTTTTGGATCTTGACTGAAGATTTTGCAACACAAGTTACATAGATATAATTCTAATGTTTAAAAAAATGCCTCATGGATTACACATATAGGCAAATCATAATAGTGATTAGCTTGTTAAAAATCCCCATTCATCTCCGCTGATCTCTAAACAAGATGTTGCATTGTTAGCTTGAGACCAATATAGCATGTACGCCATATAGTGTTGGGATTGAACACATTGTTCTGACCACACCGCAGACATCTTCAAAATTGGTTGTCTTTCAAGTAATGCCGACAGTTTTGACAGTCACTCAGTAAAAATAAATCTTTTCTGAAAAAAAATCTTCAAAGTATGTTGATAAATGATGTAAAATCAATCCATTAGTGAAAACCTGGCAAATATCTGAGCAATGTTATTGTTGGGTGAATTTAAATTTGGGGGGATTCTGATTCTTTCACAAATCACAATATTCCCATATCTACTGCTTAACTCACCACATTTGACTTGTAGAAGTTTCACTGTGCTACAGAATTCAATTTGTTTGTCTCATTTGTGAAATTACAGAGACCATACCTGCCAATCCCAGAGATACTAAAAGAGGGTACCTGGTGATGACCCTCTTTTGAAAATAAAAGAGAGGGTCATATAGCGGGTTTTTTTGCAACAAATATAAGAAAAATAGATATTGAATTAGAACTTAATTATTGTTAATGATGTAAAAGTTACATTCTACATTCATTGAACTGTTCTTCCAGCAGATTTAGCTGATCCTCATCCACAATACCAAATTCAAAGCTTAAAAAATAAATAGATTTGTCAACAACACAACTTATAAATTTAATTCATAATAATATATATGATACTGTGTTTTCACAGGCATTTTTTATGTCAATTGAAATGGTTCTGACAATAACTTTATAAGATGTCACATTCTGCTCATATAAAATACCATTTTGTTTCTGTCAATGAAAATGGTCCTGACAATAAGAAGTTGCACCCTATTCATATAAAATATCAGTTTTATACGAGTAGGATTTGAACACTTATTGTCAGGATCATTTTGATTGACAGAAACAAATCATCAAATGCCTGTGCGTGTTTTTGAATGTCTTAGTAACGTCGTTTTTAGCACCAGATCAAACTGAAATATGCGATTAACAAAGACTAGAGTGTAGATTGCACGAATCTTTTCTTTAAGCATTTCATGTAGTAGAACCTGCAAGTCCCAATAACGACTTCTTCCTTCAAGAAGACCTGTTACCTTTAAAATACGATCTATACTACGTAAATACAATTGTAAAAACAACTCAATTATTTGTTAAAACACCTCACTAATTACTTGTCGGTAAGTTCAGTAACAACAGTCTTTATATAAACATTTGTAAAATCAATTTTAGTACGTATATAAACAACTCACAACTTACCTGTCGATGAAAAACGGAAACAGGAAATAAATCGTCTTTCTTATAACAAAGGATGGAAAAGTCTTAGAGAATTCCGAGTAACTTCTAATATATGAAAAGATTTCGGGCAAAAACAGGTGAAATGAATGAAATCCGGGTCAAACTCATAACCTGTCGGGGGAAGGACTAAAATCCTCGGTTTAACCTGAAGATATCGGGTCACTTGGCAGGTATGAGAGACTTGTATAAAATGTGGTTTTTACTAACTAGCTTGTTTTCACCTTTCAGATGTCTTCTAGAAGTGGATCTTCCAGAAGGTAAGTGAGAGCAATTTTTTCACCTCTTTTGACAAGGGCCTGTGACTTTGGGCTAATATAATGCACAATTTTTAGGGGGAAACACAATATTTGCATAGGGAAAATACATCAGAAATAATCTAGGTGATGAAGAGTTGAAGACCCCAAATTCTCTTTAAAAAATCACTGACCAGCGTTTTAAACTTCAACCAGGCTATGTGTAATAATAAAACAATATATTTAAATATACAAAATTTATACTTTTTATACGCTCGTCAAATTTGACAGAAGTATTATGGTATGGGGTCGTCAAAATTTTCTCCTATATTTTTTATAGCATGTCAGCTAACCACTCTTAGAATGATGCAGATCTCATTTCAATGTAAGAAAGTGTATAGCACTATATGGCGTTCGACGGGCGTAGATGGTTCTGCCCCACAGTACAAAGTTTTAATAGTTGACATTTTTATCAGCACATTGTTTATAGGAAGCATGTTGATATTCTCCAATATTCACGAAAACCTTATTGGCTTATGGAGAACTTTCTGACTATCTACCCCAATTAAAAAAAAGAAATATTTTAAAGGAGAAAATCAGTTACTTCAAATGACTAGCTTTTTAGGTCACCTGAGCTTTAGCTCAAGTGACCTATTGCTATCCGTTTTCGTCCGTCGTCGTCCGTCGTCCGTTAACATTTTACATTTCAAACTTAAAGTCAAGTTCTGCTGGGCCGATTGAACTGAAAGTTGGTAGGAATGATCGCCTCATGGTCCTGACAAAGTGTTGTTATTTTTCGGGTCGATCAGAAATCCAATATGGCCGCCACGGCCGCCATTTTGAAAACCTATTTCAAACTTAAAGTCAAGTTCTGCTGGACCGATTGAACTGAAAGTTGGTAGGAATGATCGCCTCATGGTCCTGACAAAGTGTTGTTATTTTTCGGGTCGATCAGAAATCCAATATGGCCGCCACGGCCGCCATTTTGAAAACCTATTTCAAACTTAAAGTCAAGTTCTGCTGGACCGATTGAACTGAAAGTTGGTAGGAATGATCGCCTCATGGTCCTGACAAAGTGTTGTTATTTTTCGGGTCAATCAGAAATACAATTTGGCTGCCATGGCCGCTATTTTGCTACTAAGTTCTAATAGGCCGATCTCACTTAAAATTGGTCTAGGAATGATCAGCTCATGGTCCTGACAAAGTTAAGTTAACATTATACTATTTTTTACTCAAATTGGTACATATTTCAACAACAAAAATAAATACTGTAGACTCAGGTGACCGTTTAGGCCCATGGGCCTCTTGTCTATTGATAAGCTCCTTAAGTTTATTTTTTCACTAAAGCAAATTTAACAATGTTTGTGAACATTCAAAAAGCCTACAAGGAAGGTCAAATACTACACATGCTTAAGTGCATAGATCTATTTACTACATAATTTTAGCATTCCTCTACAAGTTTTGTTGGTTATCAGCTCTCAATGATGTCACCTTTAAGAGTTTTCTGTTGATGGAAATTGTCTTTTGACACTTGTCACTTAGTTAAAGTACTAGCATTACAGAAAGCTCAACTGCCACTCGTACAATCCTCAGAATTATGAAGAAATATTAAAAACTCTAAACTTGTTCACTTCCACTAAAGAACTAAAGAAAATGAAAGTTGATATGCATGGTGTTACCTAGGTAACATAAGTAGCATGTTCTTGTAAACCTTGTTGTATCCACAGAAAACCTGCACAGGTCAGTCGTGCAGTATTTGAAAACTCCTCGGATGAGGATGATGCTGGGAATGGTAAAAAAGAAAACGGGGACTCCCAGTCAGAAGAGGATATTCTAGAGGAACTGCCAGAAGGTAATCATATAATAGCCATCTTGTTATGGGATTGAACTTCACACAATATGTATGGTCTTTGGCAATAGGACTTTATCACCCCCACCACCACCACCACCAAGTGGTGATATAGAAGGATCTGTTTATCAAGTGGATGTTCTAAACATCTTAAAAGCATACAACAACGAAAAAAACTCTGTTTGCATTTTTGTTCTTGCCCTAGTTTTTATCAGTCCCTCAAAATTTGAAACTCTGATTAGCTAAACTTAAGTTTTAATGAAATAAAATTTGTGCAGATTGCTTTTCTGGAGAGTTAATTCCCATGATTCCCTATAACACATATATTGACAATGGTGTGGGATCTCTAAATGTATGTGTTTTGCCCCTTTGTATATATATGTAAATAAGCGCATTTGTTGGTCTTATTAGAGAAAAGAAAATACACAGCCGTATCAAATTTCTTTGTTCCACAGGTACAGTGGTTGTCAATCCGGAACCAGTTGAGGAGAAAAACCCAACCTTCAAGGGACCTGAATTTGTGTCAGGAAAACGAAAAAGCACAGGTAACAAATAATCTACTATGTATATATGTGACTCATTTGTAAGTCCTTGGCGACTAAGTATGTCTTGATTTTGGTATCATTCTTCAGTTGGTAGATGTTCCACATTGATTTTAGATGAGCAGTATATTTCAGAGACTTTCAATATTCTGAACCCACAGGTACTAAGTACACTCATTTAGGTGTTTTGTCAAATAGTGATACCTACATTTTAGGTTCTTAAATAATAAGGATTTAATGCAGAGATCTATTTTGTTTGCTTATATACATGGTCATAATCTTTTATTAAAACAATCGCATCTTAAATTGTACGATATCAAATACTGATGTTTCCATTAAGTATGGTAAAGCATGCATTAAAGTTTTCATTGAATATGTAAAAAATAAAACTTAAACCCTAGTTGCTCAGGTACTATGTTCTTGGAGCACTTAGACGAGCAGTGTCCAATAATCTATCGGCACAGGTCTTTAAGGTGAAGGTATTGAGACAAATATTTTCAGAATTGTTTTTTCAAAGTGAAACTACTGACAAGTGTTTGTATGTAAACATTTTGTTGTTTGTAGGTATCGTTGATGCCAGTGGCTTAATGGCCCGTGTGACCTGTACGGCCTGCCACAAACAAATCAACACAAACAAGAAAGGGTCTGCTCGACGACATCCTCTCCTCAAAGTCCTCATCTGTAAGGTGAGCTAGCACCACTGTCAGCAACTCCAGACGTAGAAATTAGTCAAAGGATACAAAAATAGTTTATACAAATTTCAAGGAATATGTGAAACACTTTGTATAATATAAAGAATTTTGTCTGGCTGGATTCTTTGCAAAGTGAAATTATTATTTTTTGGTCAGTAACCAGAGCACTGAATTTCTGAGAAATTACAAGAATCCATTTTCTACACAAGAAGATCATGGATGATTTTTTTTTAAATGAAATAATGCAGATAATGATATCTTTATTCTTTTTAAGTATTTGATAATTTTTCTGTGATAAAAGACAATATTACATACCTTATTTCAATCCTAGACAAATAGGTATCACAAGTTGTTGTTGCTTTTTACGTTCCCCTACATAACTGTGTAAAGGGAGATAACTTGTGAATTGAGGTTTTGCATATTTTGAAATTTTATTTAAGTATTTGAAAAAAACTAGCAACTTATGATCAAACATTTATTGTTTTGAACTGATGATTTCCATTTTTTTAAAAGTTGCCGTTGTCTACAAACTTTTGGTCAAATACGTCTTCCAAACACTTGTCAAGTGTCTATTGAAAAGATCATGGACAATGCTTTTGGTTTTCTTACACAACTTGTTAGTTTCCCTATAACCCGGTTACCAATTTTGAAGACAAACAAAACAAGTTTAAACAAATATTTCTGTTAATCCCAATAAATGTTCATCATTTTAACAATGGTCTTGTGATATTATGGATCTGAAGTGTGTATAAGGATGAACTGTTTGTTGCAGCGCTGTCGTACCTATTACGATAGTGGCCCAATACAGAAGGACAAGGATGGTCTGGATGAGCAGTGTCGGTGGTGTGGAGAAGGAGGACGTCTGTTTGGATGTGACTTCTGTCACAATGCCTTCTGTAGGTCCTGCATCATACACAACCTAGGGAGATCAGAACTAATGCGTGTTCAGAACGGTAAGATAGCACTTAAATTTAAAATAAAACAGCAATCAATTTGTGTTATTTCAGAGTTTGTATCTCAGATATGGATGTTAGTCTTTTAGTTGGCTGTCATGGCCTCTTGATTGACTTAGACAATAGCTGTTATAACTTTTGTTCCATTTTGCCAATTGTCTAGGATTTATACAAAGGGAAGAATAGTTTTGGGAACCAAGATGGCTGCTATGGCCTCTAATTCTATTAGTTTTGTAAGAAAAAACATGAGAAAAGAAGGTAAATAAAAATCTAATCTCTGTAGTGATAAGATGCCATGCAATTCCAAGCCAGAACATTTTTGCCTAAATCAGAATAGAATCGATAATTAGGGCTAACATGTTTTTGTATTAGGACTTGTATCCTAGAATTCGCATTAGTGGTTACCATGGGAACTGGACAAAGATATTAAATATCTCTAAATAATGGATCCAGGAATAAACACTCTTACTGTTAATTTACTGTTCTGAGAAGTTTTTCCATGTTTTTCTGTTTTTCAGATGACAAGTGGAAGTGTTATGTGTGCAATTCTAAGGCACTTAGACCACAGCGGCATGAGTGTGAGGCAGTGCTTGAGCAAATTAAGAAGGAGGACCAGAAAGCAAAAAACGCCTTGGAACGAGAAAAAGAAAGAGAGAAAAATAAAGATAAGAAGGATATCCCTTCCAGTAAAAACACTCCTTCTTCAAAGTCTAGTGACACAGCAAAAAACACTCCTTCTTCAAAATCTAGTGACACAGTTAAAAATCCTCCATCTTCAAAATCTAGTGACACTAAACAGTCTATTGTGAAATCCACAGGTGGAAAAATAGCCCCTGGTATTAACCCCAAGGTTGAAGTAGTAGTGGTTGGACCAAAAGTACCCATTGCAATTCAGCCCAAACCAATGCCCAAGAACATGCCATCCCAACAAAAGCCACTTGGGCCTGCACAACAACAGCTCAAAAACCTTTTGTGTATGCCCTCTGTTCCGCAACAGAATGCGCTTCAACAAGCACCTGTACACAGAATGATGAAACAGCAGCTGCCAATGTCAAATCCAGTGATGGGTAGAGTGGGGTTTGTATCTAGTCTTGATCCAGTATTGATTACTCTTCCCATGTTGATTGAAGAATTCAAAAAGAACATAACACCAACAACAATTCCACAAGTTCTAGCTAAGCTGATGAGTATTACAAACTCTCTAACTTTGTTGATGTCATCGATTAAAATGAACATCATGGACAATCATATAAGTTCGCCACGATTTGAATCTGTTAATGCCATGAGCTTGCAGAGTCGAAAAACAGCAGTCGACTGTTTAGTCAGTGGGTTGGAGCTCTTTCTTCAAGAACTGCAAATCACAACAGTAGGCGAGTATGTACCGCCACCCCAAGAGAAGAGTGACTTTAAGGGGGCTAATGGTTCTGCTGCAGATGTGTCAACTTCAAACAATTCTGGCAATGCAAATGACTCAGAACCAGAGGTGGTAGAGATAGAGTCTCCTACCAAACCGATGCCCGACATCAACGATCAGATTATAGTAGAATCTGATTCAGAGGAAGAGGTAGTACCGGTTAATATGGATGTTTCTCAGAAGGTTGATGTAACAAAAGAAAATGATGAGAAAAAATCTGAAACTGACAAGGAAATGGAAGAAAAACCGACAGAGGACAAATCATCCGATGATGAGGGCATGGAAGTAGAGGATACAACATCTAAAGATGAAGAGGATAGAACATCTAAAGATGACAAGGACACAACTGCTAAAGCTGACAAGGACACAACTGCTAAAGCTGACGAGGACACAACTTCTAAAGATGAAGTTAAAGAAAAATTGGACAAAAAGTCCAAAGAGAAAAGTCCCAAGAAACAGTTGAATACAGGAACAGAAAGTCCCAAGAAACCTAAGAAATCTAGTGATGAAAAAGAGGGAAATGATAATGTTGACTCTGAAAATACAGAGGCTCAGTTAGAACTGTTGAAAGAGCTAGCAGATGAGTTAATAAAGAATGGCAAGAAAACGGATTCTGAATCTGATGAAGAAAATACAGAGTGTGAGGATGAAGATGATACCAGCAATTGTCAAAATAAAGAGCAAAGTGATGAAGACAAAACGGAAAATGTTGTTGAGGAAAAAGAAAAGAATGACGATAGGAAATCTGAAAGTAGTAAGGTTAAAAAGGGTAGGGACAACAAAAAGAAAAATGTTAAAGATGATGAAAAAGATAAACAGAAAAGTGAAAACGAGGAAGAGGACAATCAAAATAAACCTGTGTCCAGTGCAAGCAGTAATGATGAAAGTGATTCAGACAGTGAGAATAGTGATGAATCTGGACCTGCTGCTAGGAGACGATTAAGGAAGAGGAAGGCCAAGAAAGGTAAACAAAGACAATTCTGAAAGACAAAAGATTTATTGCTTTAAAAAATGCCTATAGATCTTTATGTAATTATAATAGTACATGTAAAATCTAATACATTTTCAATATTACATTTATTGCATATACTTGTAGGTCTTACAGGGGCTAACAACTCTACTAAGGGGTAGTTCTGTGGATAAAAAGATTTGTATCCAGTTTTTATACGCCCGTCAAATTTGACAGAGGTATTATGGCATGGGGTTGGCCGGCCGGCGTAAACTTTTGTTTGGCCGGCAATCTCCTCCTAAATTTTTCAACCGATCTCTTTGAAACTTTGTATACATTATAACCATGATATGAAGTTGTGTCTCCCTTAAAGAAATTGATTCAACAATTTTTGCAAAAGTTATTGCCCTTTGTTCATTTCAGTATTTGATTTTTTGTCCGGAGATTTTATCCTACATTTTTTATAGCATGTCAGCTAACCACTCTTAGAATGACGCAGAGAGATCTTATTTCAATGTAAGAAAGTATATAACACTATATGGCATTCGACGGGCGTATATTGTTCTGCCCCGCGGTACGCTTGTGGTTATTTTCATAGCTTAACCAAGAAGAAAAATGACAGTGTCGTAAAAGCTATTCTGCTAACCTTAAAAAAATTAGATTTGTATATTTAAATAAGATTTGGCATGATTCACAATTTAATAGAGTTGAAATTTACAATCTATATATGTTCCAGTACACAAATGTGTTGTTAAGGCAATCTGTGAGTATTTCTGCTGTATTACTTCCAGAAGATGTCCGTCATAAATTTACAGGTTACACAGTTCAACATTTCAATTTATTATATATGTAGTCGTCGCATGGTTCAATCATATCCTGATCACAAGTGCTTAGAAAGTAGTGATATTTATGGCTGGTAAAATCAAGAAGTGTTGACCTACATTTTGGACGATTATCATGTACTGATTAACTATTCCAGCTCTTGTATCTGGTATAGTATACAAGACAGACTTGGAACCTTTTGTCTTTACCTGTTAGGTAAATGACCCATAAGACTGATTTCCTATGCATACATTATGAACTATCTTACATACAATAGAAATGAAAGCAAAACTTTCAAACTGGAAATGTGTTAGACATGAATGCCCTAGGCCTTCTCCCACACAATTAAGGACTAAAGCAAGGTCACAGAGGTCAAGATAACAAAAAGGTAAACAACAAACTGTATATAAAGAGAAGCAATAGTTGGTGAATTTGCATGACTTTAGTCCATAACCAATCTAGATGGAAAAACTTAACCAAGGTCACAGAGGTCATGGTCACTAAAATGTCATGCAAAATGTCCCCACTCATAAGGCAAATAAGCATGTGAATTTGTATGACCCTAGTTATAACTGGCTTAAAGGCTAGCTGGTCACTGAAACTTAGGCAGCCGAACAAGGGTACCTCAGGACAAGGGCAACAACTACAGCACTACTTTGTTGTGTGTATAACTATAAGTTTTAAGTTTTGATTTTATTTCTATTACATACAAGATAACAAAATCAATGTATGCATAACATGAAACAATGCCACAGAAAATCATAATAATTTGCCATGTTAAAAGTTTTATTATCACTATCATTTCAGAAGATGAAAAATCAGAAAAGAAAGGCAAAGGGAGTTTGAAAATACGTCTGCGACTACCTACCAGGAGTAAATCACAACAAAAAGAAGAAAAGAAAGGTGAGAGGAGAAGCAGTCGTTCAAAGACGGCAGAGGAGTCCCAGGATTCTGATGATAAAGATAGTAGATCTAAAGGCAAGGACAAGAAAAAGGGTGTGGAATCAGAGTCTGATAATTTTGACTCTGACTTGGAGGACGAAATAGATAAGTTAGCAAAAGATCCAAAAGTACAGAAAAAGAAAAAGAAATCCGAGAAAGAAGAAGAGGAAGAAGTAAAACCAAAGAAAGGGAACAAGAAAGGAATTAAAGAAGAAGAAAATAAGAAATCTAAAGGTAATTCAGATATGTACTGCTTTCTCTTAATATATGCCTGTAAAAATTGTATTTTAAAGCTTATGATATGCGTGTATGAATTTTAAGCCATCAATATCACCAAAACGAGAGGGGATGTACAATACTTTAAAACAAGAGATTTTTCAGAGATTTTTCATAAATTTTCCTGTCTTTTGTCCTTAAACAAGTGAATTCAACTCAGTGAAAGTATGCATGATTTGTGTCTTTTGTCTTTAAACAAGTGAATTCAACTCAGTGAAAGTATGCATAATTTGTGATTCAATCTCTGGGCAAATTGTTTTGTAACTTAAGGTCAAAAGTTAAAAGAACTTGTGTGAAGCAAAAATGTATATATTTTTTTCTTAACATTGATTCGGCATGGAAAGAACCTAATTATTTCATAATGCATACATGCCATATCTAACGATTTTGGCGGGAGACTCACGAAAAATAGCCTTTCAAAATGTCTCACAGCGTGGGACCCATTTTTCACGCTTTTTATTTCAAATATTTTGATCTCACGAAAAATCTTCCGATGTAATATCCGCCAATTTGACTTGGTATGAAATTGGTCTCTGACACGAAAAGAAACGAAATTTGGTCAATCTTTGTGAATAAACAATAGCTACATGGATTCACACTGACCTTGGTCACTGAGAGGTCTGAAGTCACACGCCAGCTACTTAAATTACAGGCCAGACCAATTAGCAGCATATATAGGTGTGAAAGATCTGAATGGGCCCGACCAGCCGATTATTGGGGCATGGCTTGGTGACTTGCTCACCGATGTGTGAACTGTTAAGCAATTAAATCAGTGACCCCACATCAAGTGGGGGCTAGTTGCTAATTAATATGTGATGACAGTTGATGTTAACATTAAACAGCAACTTAAGAGCTGTTAATTCATTACAATCAAAAACATGGTTTACCAAAACGGAAATGTTGGAGGTGACTATAAAATTAATATGACATTGAATCCGGAATTCATTCTCTTGCCGTCAGAATAAATAACATAAATAGAAGAAAACAAGTTTCTTTAGAATTAGATATATATATCAAAATAGTAGTTATTGGTTATTTTTTCCCAACAAATTAATTTTAAATTTTCCCAATGTTTTGACATATATTTTTTTCGAACCTGGGTTAAGAAGGCCGACAGCCCTCTAGAATTTCTTATTTTTTTAATTACTCTGATTTTTTGCCTTTTATGTGATTTATTTACTTTTAAATGTGGATAGCTTTATATGGACCGTATCGGTATGTCACGTGTAAACCTTCCTAAAATCCTTTAAAATATCAATAAATCTTCAATTTTGGCTCTAGCAAAGTAATTAGAGGCTTCAGAATAACACAAATGATTCAATACTATGTTATATGCTATATAATTTATGTTTTAAATGTCTCACAAATTTTTCACGAATTCAGAGATAAAATCTCACTAAAAATAATCACTGATCTCACTATTTTGCACCGGAAAGTTATGGCATGTATGATAATGTATTGGTATAATTACAGGCAAGGAGGAGGAGAAGGGGGACAGTGACAGCAGTGAAGGTACAGATAACTATGATCCTGGGGAGGCTGCAGAAGAGGAGGAGGAAGAGGAGGAACCCATGGACACTGTGGATCCTCCCCCAGACCTCTCAGATAAGGGGGTAGGTACAATCCAGCTATTGGTCTGAAGAAAAAGGAGGTATCACATCCAGTTATTGATCCACCAAAAGAAAAAGAATAACAAACAATTGTAATTGCTCTTTAAGACTGCAAGCTCCATCTGTTAAGTCAAGCAGTCATCAAACTTGTGTATACATCTTCAGGAGTACTACACTCCAACGTGGTGAATGTAGGTCACAAGACCTATATTTTCTGCTTCGCTGACTTAAGTAAAACTTTGGGTTTAGAATACAACTTTATCATTTCCATCTAAGCACCCCCTATGAGAACCCCTCCCCCTTTTTCGAGGAGACTTGAATTAGTTAAACCCTTTTCCCCTACCAGACCTGACCAGTTCAGTCAATGATCTTCAGAGTAGAGATTTTTGTATGGTGATTGTCGCTGAACTTACTTACCATGAACCATTTGATTTCCAAACCTCCAGCCACACTGAAATGTTTATAATGTCTTTTGGTGATAACAACAGTTGAATTTGCACATCTTCTATCATAACTCACATCTTATTGTATTAATAAGCCCCCCTAATATTCCTACCATTTTTACATTTTTTGTGCTCTGGAAATGAAAATGGTTTTAAAACTTGTGATTGAAGTTCTAGTATAAAACAAAATCAACTGATATACATCAGTTACAGATTATGCTCAAATGAACAATACATAATTTGCATTTGATATAATTTCAGAATTCTTCTACAGAAGTGGAGGGTAGTGATGAAGACAGTGATGACAGTAGTGATTCTGGTGAGAAAAACCAAAACCAAAAACCGCAAAACTGTATATATATATATTTAGTCATATTTTCAAAAGGCAGCAATTTCTGAGGACTTTCACAGAAATTATTTTCTGGGGGGGTTGAACAGCAACTGATATAAATTTCTATAGGTGGTTCTTTGTCTGGAAAATTAAAAATCAATGGGTGGTTGATTTGACTGAAATAGAATCGTATATGTTGCCCTTTTTGAAACACAACAGGCTATATTGCAGGTGCATAAAATGATGCATTGTGCAGTATATAGAACAAGTTCAGTTTGGGAATTTTTTAATAGGAATTTAGATAACCTCACCTATTTCCATTTGAATGGGGCAAACATTTGGCCCGAAAAACAGGCAAATAAGGTGTTCAATCTAGAAAAATAAAATGTGATATACAGTTTTGAATTTTTGACCAGGCTGTCTTTTAAGTACAGTGTAATTATTTTTTTTAATTGGTTGATCTTTCGGTTGTAGAAGTGATCATTAACAGTCCGAAGAAGAAAAAAGGTGGAAAAACTGGGTCTAAGAAAACTAAGAAATCAGAGTCTTCTGACTCTGATGCACCCAAAAAAAAGAAACCACTGCGCACAAAACTGCTAGATGCAAAATTGTCGGAGTCTGATGATTCTGATTTCCAGGTATCGAAGAAAGGAAAAGGGTATGTTTCTTTAATATAGTATGTGAACAAGAGATTTTTACACAACATTGACAGACTTCTGAATTACATAGGAACATTGAAAAGTCGGTTGTTATTTTTGTTATATATTCTTATCTTTAATATAAGGCCGGAAGAAAAAAAACATTGGAACTGTTTTGGGGGGAAAAACGCCTGTTTGTCAATTCATACACTTGATCAATATACACACATTTCAAATTTTGGTGATGTTTTATTTTCATAAAGCTATACCATTGTTTTTATGAACAGTAAGAAAAGAAAAGCAAAGACAGATTCATCGGAGGAGGATGAGTCGACTGAGGAGGACAGTGATGCCAAGAAGAAAGGACGTGGTAAAAGGTCTGCTGTTTCCAAACAGAAGGAAAAGGGCAAAAAGGGGAAACAAAAGAGACGACGTATAAAGATAGCATCAGAGTCCTCTGATGAGAAGATGAGCACAGAAGGAGAAGAAGAAATGAAAAAGGAGAAAAAGGTTTGTGTAAACTAGTGCCATGTCTTGGTATAGATTTGAAGTAGTTTCAGTATTATGAACAATGATCAGTCTACCTTAAGGCCACACCAATTTGATCTTTCGTTCGCGGTGGCCACCCGCACCTTACACATCATAAGGCCAAAAAAAATTGATTACTTGGTTCTCAGGCCCGTGCGCATTGCCGATTTTATCGTGAGTGCCAGCTGCCATCTTTTAAAAAAATCAGAAAATTGGTCCGCATGTCGTTTTTACTTATTAGTCACCCAAGTCCTGAAAACGTTTGAATAAAGGTAAGGATTGAGATACAGGCTAGCGTTAAAATGATAAAGACTTACAGTCTTGTGTACAAATGGCGCTCATTTCGGAACAAATAAGAATGGGGGGGTTCGTGATTGTCGTCTGAAACATCGTGGGGGGATTTTCGGAGGCTTGCTCTGTGACGGGTCTCTACACAACTATAAAAAGACAAGGTAATGTCCACAATGAACGTTTTACAAACTACACAATCAAAAAAAAAATCGCCCTCATCTCGTTTTTGCCATGTTAAATAAAGAAAAAAAATACCGCCCTGCCACATCTATTTTGAAAAAAAAATTGGCCTGAGAACCAAGTAATTAATTTTATTTGGCCTAATTGAGAAATTTATAAATAATTTTTTGCATGCGCACGTCGCTGTAATCGGCCGCTTCCCAAATAATCAGAATAATTATCTGACCGGTTCACATGATATTATACTCCGCAATCACCGTCACAACTGCGTTTGTTGTGCTTTAATATTAGTTAGTTCCAACGATTAAGCGTGCTTATCACATGGATGTTTGGCGGCGAAGTCAAAATCGTTCGGAAAACGTAAAATGGTAACATGAGTGTCTTTATCGTGTGTGTTAAGAGGGGGGCTTGTAATATATTACTATTTGAGAAGGTGATTCTGTATGAGAGTTGGTAATTTAGCCCACCTTTATCAGATGAGGGGCTGTTTAAATCGCCATTTGTCCGTGGTCCATTCTGCTGTCCGTCCGTAAACAAATTTTGTTACCACCATTTCTCAAAAACTAATGAAGGGATCATGGTTAAACTTAGTAAGTGTCTGTCTAGTTGTGTTTGTACTGGTTCAATAGAAAAGAAATGTTATTTTAACTCTATTAATTCCAGACAGGAACTATTATTAGTATTGGAAGCTGTGAGAGACAATTATTGACTTTATTCAGGTTAATACGGGTATTTGTCAACCTGAGAAAGGTGATATTCCCCTCGGCCTGCGGCCTTGGGGAATATCACCTTTTTCAGGTTGACAAAAAGAAGATTATGTTTTTATTTTATTTTAACTCTAGTCATTAATGACAGGAATTATTATTTGTTTTGAAAGCTCTGATGCTAAACAAATTGTTTTGTTTTGATATGCTTTTTGTTGTACATGAACAAAGTATTTAATAATGAAAACCAATTAGTGGAATGTATGTGCGGTACTGTGCCAAAAGTCGAGATTATTGTTTTTTCTCCATTTAAATTTCATACTATTTTAATATTCTTGTTGATGTTTTTCAACTGCTGTATTGGTAAAAAGACAACAATGACATTCACTTCTGGAACAGAATTGTTTTTATTTCATAACAGATTATTTAGTTGTGTTGCTATACAAGTAGTATTTTTATCAGTCACATGTGTTACAGTGTACAACATCATAAAGAAACAGCCATCCGAGATAAAACGTATTTTTTTTTATATTGCTCGCCTGCTTCTGTGTATTGTAAAAAATATTTAAAAATTTCGCTCGCCTGCGTTTTGTCGACGAAGGAAATATGTATTTAAAAACACACAAAAATCGCTTGCTCGCTCCTGTTTTAAAATTTGGGTTCCCAAAGAACTAAAATTCAAATTGGTGTGGCCTAAGTAACTGATGATGATTAGTGATATATATTTACATGTGCAAGAAGGACCATAATTAACTATCTATCAAACCTTCCTTCCTTTTCTAACATACAATTGTTACCAGATGTTTAATGTTAAAACATAGTAATTCTTTTTTAATAACTCTATATGAATTATTGTCAAAAAACAGAAAACAGACATATTATTCTGACAATTAATAAGATCTAAAAAAATATTATATGTTTCGGGTTTTATCCTGTAAAAACTTACGTTGGGTAGGTAGAGAAACATTTTATTACATATAATACAGGTTATATTGAACAAGTATTATTGATCTTAAAAGTGTGCGTCTACAATTGGCTCAAAAACCTTGAGATAGACTGTCAAAAAATAAGGTTGGTACTGGTAGGGATACCAGCAACATACAATAGGTATTTTTTGGTTGTATCTGATATGGTCACATGAAATGGTCTTTCATTTTGTGATGTTGTTTGAAATTATATGAAAAGGAGTTATATATTGATTTATGGGATGACCTTGATCATCAGTTTCCCCTATGTCTCTGTGGGAATATGTTTCCTAGCTATATTTGACAATGGAAGACGATGCATTCTCAAGTCAGTCACACTAAAATTCCTTTCATTGTAGTTGCAACAATATATAATTATTTGTTTTATAGAAAAAGAAGAAAAAGAAAAAAGGATCTAGTTCGGAAGAAGACGGATCGGATGATGATGAAGATGAAGATGGGGAGGGATCACCATCCAAGGGCAGAAAAAAGATCCGTAAGATCAAATCCGACAAGAAATTGACTGATTCAACACGCAAAGCTGTCAAGGCTGAGCAGGAACGCCGAAAGAGAATTACAGAGAAGCAAAAGGAGGTAGTATATCATTGTTGGTCATTTATCAGCTTACCGTATATGATCCAGGTACCGGCCATTGGTCAATTATTATTTTTCCGGGAACTCTGGCTTTCCTCCACCGTCAAAACCTGGCATGTCCTTAGATAACCATAGCTGTTTATAGGACAGAAAACACAAAAAACGTATATGACTCGAGGCCCAGACATTGCATGGTTGGAAATTTGTCTTCCCTCATAAATTGTGTATTTAGGGTACATATCCAATATTAACACCATGTATTGACTTGTGTTGATCGAAAGGTTTAGATATGAACTACATGTCGTAAGTGTGCAACTGGGCACAATTCGTGTCCATATATGTTTTGATTATGATACAGTGGAATCCGCTTATTAGGATATTCTATTTGCCAGAGAAAAATATCATAATAACCGATCAAGCTGTTTTCGATCGTTTTTATGCTGTCTAAAACGGAAGTGAGATGCCCTATATTAATCAGACATAGATTGATGTGGATGCATGGAAAAATATAAATACAAAACGATAAAGTAATAATTGAAATAATTTGGTAATTGTAATTTATATCGGCGTGTTCTCAAAATTTGAGAAGATTTCATTTTGCCGTCGTAATGATCAGTATGTAAATTCTACTTTCACTTTCAAATAACTTCGAGTATATTCCTAAGCACTATCTATATAATCCATCCTAGCTAACGATATCGTAATGTTACATTTTGTCTCATAAGCATAAAAATATTTTGCCGCGCTATGTCAATTACGATCACGTGACAATCACATGCCTTGCAAGTCGTGCGGTGAAATCAACTTGCAAAGAAACAATAAGAATTAAAAACACAAATATTCCCTTTTTAACAATAATTGAATATTTTATTTAATGTAAATTGTAAATAAAGCAGCCGTCGTTAGTTGTTTACGACAATAACATTAACTTTGGATCAATTTCTGGCACCATGCTGTCAGGGCGCTATTGTCCCGATTTTGACACTTTTTCAACAGAGACACAGGAAAATCAACTTCTTAAAAAAAAAGAGAAACTATTGCTTCAGTGATTAATAACACACATCTTTCTTCTGAAGTAATATTTTCATTGAAATCGGCATGATTTTATCACATGACGTGTCAAGGTTACTTTGAATATATTTATGCTCGTTTTCTTATCAGAATTTATGTTAGAAAAAGGTCGGTAGGCCTAATAATTTCAATTTGATACACAGTCCTACAGTGTATTTTAGATAGCAATTAACTGCATCACCCATTTTGTTAAGACTGAAATGTATGACAAGCAAGCAATGGTCCATCTATTGTTTTCTGCTGACTGGGGTGAAGCAAGGTGTGAAAAATGTACCCGGAGTGGACAGGTGATCACCTCGGGCGATGTACAGTTAGCCGGACCTTTTGTTTAATTGTCCAGGTGTTTCACATGGACAACTTACCTGAGTTTTTACCTTGTAAAATCCATTCACAGCAGAAAAAAATATCATAAGCAGGGTCCCACCTTTGACCATATCATAATATACGAAAAAAAAATGCTAATTAAAGAAGGAAAAAATTGGTGCATGGCAAAAATATCATAATAAATGGGTTCCACTGTACTGAGTGTCTGTAGAAAATGTGCCATTATGTCTGTTGTAAGCTTGAAAGAAAAATGAAATTTGTTCTGGGTTACAATTCATACAGAATTAACACAATGGGCTGTGTCCCAAATATGAATAATGCATACATAACCATATTTCTTGCACATAATCCATCCGTGTATTTACGCATGTCTATTTTTCGTAAGAATGAAGAGTAATTTAGATGTTGCTAATGTAAATTATAATTGAAATAACAAAATTTCACCCATTGTAATTTTACATTTTAACATTACTTCATTTCACATACTGAGTGCCAAAGTTTGATGTCACTGAAATACTGAGATTTTTGCCATGATGGTTTCGTATTTGAGATTTAAATCTCGTTCAGTTGAAGGACATGGGGTATATACCTCAATCTGTCTTTACCATCTGTGATAGTATCATTGTTGAAACTGCAAAGTGATGAAATTTCTTTAAACACAAAAATTGATAAAAAAAATATCAAAAGTTCTGGTCATCAAATCAAAGTGTATTCAAACACCAACTGGAGAGTATGCCGCAGTCATAATAGAAAGGATGTTAAGTAAGATTTCACTTGTACTTTAAATAATTTCCCTACAATTTCAGTTCAATAACGTTGTGGTGGAAGACGACCCTTCATCACCCACCAAATGCCCTATCACAAAACAGCTGGTCCTTGAGTATGACAAAGAGACCAAGGAACCGTTGATAGAGGTTGATAAAAGGCTGATCACCAAACTGAAGCCCCATCAAGTTGAAGGTAAGTTCTATTCTTCAATGCAAAGACAAATATTGTGTACAGGCTATATGACATTTTGGTGAGGTTGTGAAGTGGCGGCATTGTCAGCGGTGGTCCCCACCGTCAGATGACCTTAGCTGTTGTGAAGACCTACCACTCGAAGCAATCAATCAACAGGTCCTGTGCCTGGTAGTTTTACAGCAGAAATTATGGAGGGGAAGGAGCTTTTTATAAGGTTCAAAATTCACCCGAAAAATATCACTGAATCAAAATTTTGATGGTTTTCATTGATCAAATGTCTTGCATTGATTGATATCTGCATTGAAACTTATTTCATACCAGTGATGATTATGCTAGGTCGAAAAAGTGCTTTATTTTCTAAAAAGGAGGAATGTCTTCCCATTTACTGCTATAATTATTTTCTTAATTCATGAAGGAACAGGTTGTTGGGTAGTGAATAAACGTTTTCTTGTCCTTTCTTTATATACCATACTTTGCTCGTTAATTTCCCTTTTTCTTTACTCAATGATATTGCTTATGTGTTACAGCTGCACAGTTCATGTGGGACTGCACCATTGAGTCTGTGGAACGTACGAAAAAAGAGAAGGGAGCAGGCTGTATCCTAGCTCATTGTATGGGCCTGGGCAAGACTTTATCTGTAAGGTTTATGTTCGTTACATGAAGAATTTTGGAGAACCTGTTTTTGTGCTTCGAGCATGGCACATTGTGTTGAATAATTCCATATATATAAGTAGTCCAGAAGATTTGTCTATGATTTAATTCTCGTTCACTTATTCTTACCTTTGCTCAATAACATACTTTGGGATATTTTGGATGTGGTTATGTTTTGGTTTATTTGGCGAGTGGAGTGAATGAGCCAAAATAAATCACAACAAAATTTCATGATGCCAGATTATGAACAATAACTAACTTCCATGGGCTATATTTTTCAAATAGGTTGTATATTTATGGAATCTGAAAACAACTTGTACCTTAATGATATGATTTCAGTGAATATCATGTACTAGACATAAACAAAAGCTATAGATGATCAAGCAGTCAATTTAGCACACAGAATCGTCAAAAAGCCAAAAGTTGACGCACCAAAATTTCACTTCCCCGTTTTGACCAAAAACCATCAAATTTTGGCAGTGCCAAAATATCCCCTGAAACTTACGTTACATGAACATCAAAGTCGTGTATGAATGACTACCGTAAGCTACTTTGAGCGTTTGTGGTGGTCAGTGCTGATTTGAAGGTGACCTTCATGTAAACTGATGTATTTGTTAAAGATTTGTTCTACCTTCTATGTTGGCTTATGCATTTGAAAACATTGTTATGATCAGAATTCTTTTAATACTGATGTTTTAGTTAAACTGCTGTTGTTTCTTGTTTAAGGTGATAACATTTCTACACACTGTGATGAATCACTCGGATTTGACGGGAATCAAAAAGGCTCTGGTGGTGGGCCCTCTCAATACAGTTCTCAACTGGCAAAATGAGTTTGAAACCTGGCTTAGTGGTGAGATGGGAGAGGAATTTTATGAGGTAAACTGGCAATTTTCATCAATGAAAGAAGCTTATAATCTTGCAGAAAATGAAAGCACCAGGCCAAACATTTTGAATAGGTTATGAAGTCAGATACGTGAAGACCTTCATGCTGTATGTATGGTACCTGATTGTGCCATGCATGTTCTTTCCGAACAAGTTCCACATAACATTAATATAATCTGTGGCATATACTGAAGACAAATTTAAAATGTGAAGGGGAGGGGGGTTAAGGTAAGTAGGTAGCTGAAAGGATAACCCTAAACTCATTAAAACAGATTCATACTAGTCTTTGAAATGTTTATCATAAACTTCTTGCCGGTTGTGCTTTATGAACCTAGGTACAATTAAATTCAATGCAATTAGTCATCACATGGCATAAGGCCAAACAAATATAAATTGTGTTTCCGCTTTCATTCTCAGAAAATGTAGGGTAGGTAGGCAATTTGTTTTATTTCGAAAAATATTTTTACTATGCTTATATAGAGCAGGAGTTCTGACTTTAACAGTGCATATCACTAAATGCTAATAAAAACTTCAGGCTAGACAAACAAATCTAGGGTAGGTAGGTACCGAGGAACCACAAGATTTTTGTTAATTTGACTCAAGTGCGTTGATTTAAAACTCCTTCAGCAGCAGTACAAAGAGTCGAGTACCTGATCTGTATAAAATCTTTGTCACAATAATACCTTAGCGGAAGACAGTAGCGATGTATGGTATAATGGTATTGATGTGACGTCTATTAATGGTGTTTCTCACTGTTGTTTTTGCCAGGTTTTTGAGATCTCCAGTGTGAAACAGAATGTCGCGAGAGCTGACGTGTTGAAACACTGGCACAAGAATGGAGGAGTGATGATAATTGGTTACGAGATGTTCCGCAACCTTACACAGGGCAATCACTGTCGCAGCAAAAAGCTGAAACAAATATTTAGGGAGACATTGGTGGATCCAGGTAATCGGTTTGACTTTGCTTTTAGCCCCATTCCTGTAAATATTAGAAATCCAACAATGATCAAACTTCACATTTGGATACATCTTAATGAGAATAACACCAATATATATCCACTGTAGGTCACTGTGACCTATATTTTTCACTCGCTGACCTTCGATTAGCTGAATTTTCATGGAAGCTCAGCCATATTTATGTTTTACAAACATTTTCTCGTTCTACTACATTGTTTCAAAGTAAAAACTTGTGAACAGATGTCTTTTGAACCTGAAATCAGATTTATTACTTTGAATGATTTTCTGTTAGTGATTGGGAGTAGGATTATGGTATATTATGTCACTTTGTTTTTTTATTCACCTAGATCTGGAATAGGTTTATGGAAATCAAGCTTGCAAACATTTCTACATTACTTTCAAATGAAATATTTGACATGTGTTCAGTAATTTAACTATCTATGAAGAGCATTGTTCGCATGTCAAATACAGAACAATTATTGAATAAAAAGTTAGTTTCTGTTTATTAACGCACTATTGTGCTGCAGCTGGTGGACCAGAGCACTGGTTTTTGCTACATGACATCAGCAGTTCATAAAGAGTTTTCCAATTTTTGTTTTCTGCAGGTCCCGATATCTGTGTGTGCGATGAAGGGCACATTCTCAAGAACGATGCCTCTGCCATTTCCAAGGCTATGAACCAGATTGTAACATTGAAGCGGATAGTCCTTACCGGAACTCCTCTCCAGAACAATCTAGTTGAATGTAGGTTTACACTTTAATAACATAATGTATTAAACTTTTCAAAACCATATGTAAAATTGGAAGCATTTTTAGTTTCAAACTTACGGCTGTTTATCCAATCGATTAAACATTACGGAAGGCCATATCGATGGGATGGACCCTATTGATGATCATGGTCAAAAGTCAAGTACATGAATAAAATTTGTAATTTCTGGTTAACATACCATGTTGCCATCATCGCCTTAGCAACTTAATTTCTAAATAGATTTTGATTTTGGTAGAAATAAGTCAAGTTTCATTACATGCCTGTTTTGATGATTTGATAAGACTAGTTGAGTCCAACATGAATGGTGATAGCAGTTCCAGGATTTGATTTTGTTCTGTTCAGTTCCTAAATCTTTGTCAAATATGCTCTATCAAGTTCACCAGACAAAACCTATTCCGTCTTTGCGTATTGCAGAGTTATCTTCTCTTGGGAGCAGGTATTGATTGTTACGTCATTGGTTTGTGTGAGAAAATGACGTCGTTTTCTCAAAAATTGATGACGTTACTCTCACAAACAAGTGACGTAACAATCAATACCTGCTCCCAAGAGAAGATAACTCTGCAATACGCAAAGACGGAATACATTTTGTTAAATTCTTGCATTCTTTATATAATATTTTTGAATTTTTGTTCAGCAAATTGCAATGGAGAAAAAATGTCCCTTTTTTCTCTCCAGATCACTGCATGGTAAATTTTGTGAAGCCAAACCTTTTGGGGACAAGAAAGGAGTTCTGTAATAGATTTGTCAATCCCATCGTCAATGGACAGTGCACAGACTCGTCATCTCATGATGTACGCCTCATGAAACGTCGTGCACACATAATCCATGAAAAACTGGCTGGATGTGTCCAGGTAAGACAGTTTATTCAAACATTGACAGAATCAATGGTAAACAACCTAAAATATCAAAAGTAAACAAGCATTTAGCAATACAAGATAAATATGGAGACAGTGTTTTATCACAATACTCTTATGTTTGAATTAAAACCATAATAAAAAAGATGATAAGGGTTGGTTTTAAAGAGACAAAATATCTTGTTTAAAGATGATAGGACGTCACTGACCAGGGTTTAGGAAAAGTGCCAACATACTGCCGTAATATTATAAAGATAAAGACAACAAGTGCAAAGAGGGGACGGCTAGTCTGCCATGTTTGTTTTTTATGCTTATATTATAATACCAGAATTTATATTTATTTTTTGGGGGTTCAAGATAAGAATATAAAATAAAAATAAAAATTTTTTAAAGGAAAACATCCATCTGTGAATGTAATGTGCTGGTATAAGATCATGTGATCATGTAATCAGTTTGATCCATTTGTTAGTTGTCGGGCTAGCAGATTTTATTTCTGGCTAGTATCCTGAAAATAATGTAAAAAGCTATATATAGTGTCAATTAACCAATATATACCAATATTATAAGTGATAACATTATAAATGTACATGATATACATATTTGCGTTGACAAAGAAAATTTTTGAAGATTTTCGTCTTCATGATTTAAAAAAAAAAGCTCATTGTAAACTTGTTGATGAATATTATAAAATAGTTTGGTTGATAGTTAAACAAAATTTGCTCATTGTAAACTGGTTGATGAATGTTATAAAATATTTTGTATGATGGTTAAACAAAATTTGCTCACTGTAAACTTGTTGATGAATGTTTTAAAATAGTTTGTATGATGGCCTTTACTTTAACCTTGACTAAGCAGCCAAAATCGTTATCTCCCATAGGTGACCACTCAACACAGGTATTTGTTCAAAATGTTACCAGTTAAAAATAGTTTTTGAAGAAAATCTGATTTATGGTTACCTCTCTCATGCTATGTGTGATAATTTTTGCAGAGGAAGGACTACTCGGCCCTCACCAAATTCCTGTCACCGAAGTATGAGTATGTGATTTCTGTGCGGCTGTCTAAGGTCCAGATAGAGTTGTACCAGAAGTACCTTGACAAAACTGGCAGTGCTAACAATGTTATGGGCAAGGGAGCGAAGCTGTTTTCTGACTACCAGGCTTTAATGAGGATCTGGACTCACCCCTGGGTCCTCAAGATGGATGAAGTACGCCAGGAAAAAAAGGTATGATCAAGCTGAACTTGCCAGAAATCAAAAAGACTGCTGAACAGTTGTTGAAGAGAAGCAGCCTTTCAATGCTAAAAGTCAGTAACCCTCTGTTGAGTTGATTGATAATTTTCAGTAGTGTTCCCAAGCTTTATTTCATTTTAATCAGCCCTGCAATTTGTTACTGGGTCAAACAAAATGCCCAAATCAAATAGTTCCCCTATCAGTGACCACCAAAATCTGAATTAAAAAAGTTGGACAGGAATATTTCTGACAGACCACTTCATTTCAAAAGGGACATAACCTATCATGGTTAGGCTTTTGTCATGTTGTACATTATTTTATTCTAAAACCTGGATAATTTGAATATAAGGCTTTGCTACAGACTAAAATACAACTGTATGTTACATGTTCAGAATCTATTCTTATTACACAAAAGGAAGAACGGTTGAAACGGAAATTGAAGAGAAAAAATAAGGTATTTTGTGATTAAACAGAGAAAATCAAACTTTCAATAAAAGCGTTGTGTTATAATGTTAGCAAAGTAATTCATTTCGTTATCTTTGCATGGTTAAATTGTTGAACACTCGAAATTATAGTTAATGTAACAAAGATTTTTCCTGTCTGTAATTTTACCCAATTTCCAATCAAATGCTTTACATATTTGTCTTTCAAAGATTTTCAGGTATTGCTTTTAGCAGAAACAATTTTCAACTAAATCCTTTCATTAAAGATATAAGAAGCAACAGCAACATGGTGAAATGAAATTTTGTATTGATGAAAGTAAAGCGTATCACATTATTTTAGTTTGTAAATTGTATCTTGCCTCTCGAAATATTGCAGAAATCATTCTTGTTACATTTCCATCACTTTCTTGAACATTTCTATTGCCGTTTCAGCTTGTTTGTTATGGATCAGTTTGTGTAATTCAAATATTTTTTGCAAAATACATTTTTTCTCAAGATGTTTTGTTGTAGTTTCCTGAACTCCTGTAAAATCAAACATATATTCAAAGGTCAAATTTTAATGTTATTTTGGTTTGCAGAGAAAAGCTACCTTAAATGAGAATTTTGCTCAAAAAATCATGTTTAAAAAGAATATATAAAATTTACTTAAATTTTACTCTTATTGATAAATGACAAAGTTGAAGATGTTCTATGTAATGAGTTGATTGAATTTGAGGAGAAAGAACATTGAATTCTTCTATTTCAAAGTATGAAATTAGCATAAAAAACATAATTTCACCCAAAATAGGGAGATCTGGAAGTTTTGAAGTATGTCATTACAATAATACAATTTCTCAATGTTAGCCAAGGTTCTGAATTTTTTATTTCATGAATGTCTATGATGTCATCTTAAGATTAACGTTATGCAGCAGAATGAAAAAATCATGCAAATGTAAATATCTTTTGAGAGTTGTTCAATTATGGCATTCAATTGTGTAGTAGCATCCATACGAAAAGTTAAAAAGTGTATAAAAAGTCACGTCCTTAATTGACCTTAGCTGTTTAATATGACCTTAAACAGAATACAACCAAACCATAAAAGAAGTATATTATATTTCTAATAACATATAATAGATAAACGATTCAGATGTAGGATTTGATATCCATGTTTATTTAGAAAAATATTATTGTTTTGACAATTGTACCACGTGTGTGATTCTTTTTCATTCTACTTACTTAGGCCAAATGGGACGACGAGGACTCCTTCGTTGATGATGATGGCAGTATGAGCGAGGATGAATCGGTATCTGAACCTAGCAAGTGTAGCAGCAGCGAAAGTGATGTGGTTGCCATCAGTGACAATAGCAGCGATGAGGACGATAAACCAAGAAAGTCAAGGGGCAACAGGGAAGCAGGCAGCTCAAAAGACTCAGATGAGTGAGTTTTTCATAAGGGTCTTCTTTCCTTTTGTTGTATTGCGGATATATACAGTAAAACCTTGCTACACTGCCCCCATTTATCCAGAGAAATTTTGGCTTGGTAAAGGGGTTTGGCAATAAATTTATGGAAACACGTAAAGGAATTGTTCAGAAAAACAAAAAAGGGGGACATTGAAACATGAAATATGTCGCAAAGAGGCAAATGAAACAAGGGGCATTATATCAAGGTTTTAGTGTACAGAGATTAAAAGTCAGAAATAATAGTTAGAAATTCAACATTCTGATCTCCGAGTGACTTCCATAGTCATAATACCAAATGGAGGTGATAATGACTTTGCTTCAACAGAACAATATGGTGCTCATATGTGGCTGATATCTCTGTTACAGAGTTGTTGTCAACTCCAAGGGAGAGGTTGTGAAGAAATGGACAACAAGGTCAAGAGGAGGTGAAGGTAAGCAAGTGTATATGTCACTTCTACCGATGTAAGCTGGAATGTTGATTTGGTAGAATAGATTTACCAGCAAATTATATTCTGTTACAGCGGTTAAGTTGAAAAATGTTGTTTGACCTAAAAAAAAAAAATGATTGTAAAAAAAATTCCATCCACAAATACTAGCGACTAATTTTTATGCTACTATCTTAAACGATAAAAATCCAGCTTGTGAATAAATGCTATTGAAGAAGTATTAGGTCCTTCACAATATCTTGAGTGTGTGATCATCATATTTTATCAAATGATTGTGCCAGGCGCCCTTGGATGACAAATGGCGGACATTTATCGAGACACATTTTCCTCGAAAAGCATTGCTTGTATTTTGACTATTGTGACATAAAGGTCTTTATCCCAATTTCAAATTGAATTTCCTTTTATAAAACTCTAAAAGATTACATTGGTCACCATATCTGCAGATGATGGTCGGTAACATCACTATTAAGGTGATGGAAGTTGTCCATCTTACAGAACTAACAGGCAACTTTCAGAAAATAAAAACATCTGCATGAGAGAAAAAATCCTCAAAATTTTACAATAAGCAATCAAGTGCAAGTTTATTGAAGTGCTCTCATTAGAGCAAGTGCCCTTATCGAGTCAAATATAGTAGATAATTGAGCAAGTAATTTTGTGTGCACACTAAATGTAATTCACAAAGATCAGCACCAAAGCTTGTACGAGTGTTTATTTATGCTATTCTACGGTGGGTGCATAAGCACAAGCTAGACTGAAAGTAAAATCAACTATGATTTTACAAGGATGAAAGCATTGACAATTGACCATTGTTATTGACGTTATAGACTTGTTTAGCTTGTTTTTCATTTGGAGTTGACCTATTAGGATGTTTTGATGTATTGTTACAATCCTACCAGGCACCGAGTGGGAAGGCATCATCAAGGCAGCTGAGGAAGAACAGGAGGAGGAACGTCCTCTCACCACGGACTGGTGGGCCGATTATGTCACAGAGGAGGACGCAACAAGGATAGAGCTCAGTGGCAAACTGTCACTGCTGTTTGAAATCCTTCGTATGTCTGAGGAGATTGGTGACAAGGTGTAAGTACAGCAGATATTGTTCTCTATTTTAGAGTTTATGATTGTTTTTGGGACTTCAGGCTTGTATTCTCTGGCATAGATGTTTTAATGTAAAGTTGAGTGCAACTTTTTTTCTACATCAAATAATGCATTCCAATGTAGTTACAATTGGATTGGATGTTGATGACACTTATTCCTAAGTGAAAGTTTTTACACCCATAAATGAAATTTAGGGATTTAACTGGAATTACACTGTCTGTGTCCATTCATCTGTGTGGTGTTGTTGGCCAAAACCCTATTCCTTTAATATATTCAAACCTATAAAAGGAATGTAGGTATCCTTCTAACCTAACAGGATGTTCTGAACTCATGAATTAATATATTCAAAGGTCAAGATTACTGTAATTAATTGATTTAAAATATATTTCAAATCATTAGATGTGGATTTTACTGCCCATTTTAATTGAATCATTATCCACATTATTTCTGAATATCTAGATATTTAGGGGTTCAAAGGTCAAGATCAAGGGACTTGAAATGCATTCAGGACCAAATTTACTTATTCTTAAACTCAGACATTACCCAGGTGAAGACCCAGTATCCTCTTAACTCGGATTGGATTGTAAACCTTTTAAAGATCTTTCAGTCAGCAATAAAAACTAAGGAATTCAAAAAGAGTATGACATTATGTAAATGTTTGAAATCCAAATTTTCCCAATTTTGATTTTTTTTTAATTCATAACACCTGGATCTGGTTAAAATTGTTTAGGAATGTCCCTGGTACATACTGTATATGGGGAAATTTCCGCTGCAGTTTACATTTGCCTTTTCATACTCCGTAATGAGGGCAAATTCATCATTACAGCGAATGTAAGTAAACAGCTTAATATACATAGTTATTCAATGTGCAGGCCGAAATTAACACTGGGCAAAAATTGGTTTCATGGGAGAAAGGCAAAAGTTTGACAGGGCGAACATTTTCTGATATACAATATCCTCCAGAAAATTCAATTAGTCAAATGGGGTTGCATTGTATCATATGATGAGGGTTTCAACTTTCTGAATCTTTTGTTTACTGCTCACAGGTTGGTATTCAGCCAGAGTTTGTTGTCATTGGATCTGATCGAGGATTTCTTGGAAAATATCGACAAGAAACACCAAGAGGAAATTGAGGAAAAAGAGAAGAAGAGAAAAGAAAAGGAAGAGGAAGAAAACAAGAATAAAGAGGGTAAAGAAGAGGGTAATGAGGATGAGAAAAAAGAGGGTAATGAGGATGAGAAAAAAGACAAAGAAGACAAGGAGGAAGAGAAGAAAGATGAAAAGGATAAGAAAGAAAAAGATGAAGAGGCTACAGTAAATGTTTTTTTCACTTTTATGTTCACAAACTTCCCGTAGTACAAGGAAGGAGGAAGGCCAGGGTTATAATGTAAAATACAACATACATTTCCTCCACACATTATCCTCAGCATCATCTCGTTATTATAGTAACACAATTTATATTCAGTTTTGTCCTTTACGTCCTGTTGCCTTTGCATTGATCATGTTAACATAATTCACATCTTCACCGTATAGATGTTGTGTATGAGCTCATTGCTGTGGGCTTTAAATTAGATTGTCATACTATCGCTGTAACCGATTGAGCTACCTGGTCAATGGAAGTGTTCTGTCCCAGTCATACTATCGCTGTAACCGATTGAGCTACCTGGTCAATGGAAGTGTTCTGTCCCAACTGTGCTACAACAGTTATATATAAACAGAAGTTAAGGGGAGGTTACTGTTTATAGGGGAACACATAGTGCAACAGGACAGGGATCCTTAACACTTACAAAGGCAGAAAGTGTAGGAGGAGATAAGTTTCAGCTGAATTGGGTTTTGCCAAATCTTCTTTTAACTTTAAATTCTGAATTCCTGAAAAAAACTTTGCACTAGCTTTCTTTCTTGAAACGATCATTTAACTAAATTCCACTTTATACCTCTTTCTTGTAGCCAGATGAGAATGTGTTTGGTAAACAATGGACGAAAGGCGCTGACTATTTACGTATGGATGGATCAACGAGTGCCCAACACAGAAAAGCCCTAGCAGAATCCTTCAATAACCCCGAAAACTACCGGTAAGGACCTAGCATTTGTTCCAATGAAGCGGAAACTTTATCTGATTTAAACCGATTTTCAACTTTCCAAGTTCCATCTGATAAATTTGAACATCTTGTTGCCCTGACAAAGTGTTTTAAATTATAAATATCCAAAGTTACCAACACAGTTATAAACAGTTTAAATGATTTCTGATTTGCATGTAGTAATGTGTTTTGAAAAATGTCACAAGAGATTTTGACACAAGTTGGCAAGATATTCAAAACAAGTGTGCAAGTGATGGGGTTTTAGCTCACCTGCCCAAAGGGCAAGCTTATGCCATGGCTCAGCGTCCATAGTCCGTCCATTTGTCAACTTTTCCTTTAAAACGCTACTTGTCCTGAACGACCCAATTGATTTTGTCTAAATTTGGTCTGGAGCATCCTTAGGCCAAGGGAACTCAATTTTGTATAGTTGGTGGGTGTGGCCCCACTGGGGACAGAGAAGTGGGGCCAAATAGGGGAAATAGAGTTAAAACCTTTAAAATCTTTCTTTTACTGTAGTGATTAATGGGTTTTATCCTAATTTAGTCTGGAGCATCCTTGGACCATAAGGACTCAATTTTGTATAAATGGTGGGTTAAATTTGGATCCCCTGGGGGCAGAGTTGCGGGGCCCAATAGGGGAAATAAAGGTAAAACCTTTAAAAAATTTCTCCTACTGTAGTGATTAAGGGATTTCATTCAAATTTTGTCCGGAGCATGCTTGGGCCAAGGGGACTCAGTTTTGTATAAACAGTGGGTTTGGAGCCCCTGGTGGCATAGTTGAGGGGCCCAATAGGGGAAATAGAGGTAAAACCTTTAAAATCCTTCTTCTTCTGTAGTGATTAAAGGGTTTTATCCTAATTTTGGTCTGGAGCATCCTTGGGCCAAGGGGCCTTAATTTTGTATAAACAGTCGGTGTGGCCTTCCTAGGGGCAGAAGGGTGAGGCAGAATAGGGGAAATAGAGGTAAATCTTTAAAATCCTTCTTCTACCATAGGGATTAAGGGAATACATCCTAATTTGGTCTGGAGCATGCATGGGCCAAGGGGACTCAGTTTTGTATAAACAGTTGGTTTGGACATCCCTGGGGCATAGTTGAGTGGCCCGGCCTATAGGGAAAATAGAGGTAAACATTTGAAATCCTTCTAATACTGTAGGGATTAAGGGATTTTATCCGAATTTGGTCTGTAGCATCCTTGGGCCAAAGGGACTCAATTTTGTATAAACGGTAGGTTTTGACTCTCCCTGGGGGCAGAGGAGCGGGTCCAATAGGGGAAATACAGGTAAACACCTTTGAAATCCTTCTATCATAAGGATGAAAGGATATCCCAATTTGGTCTGGAGCATCCTTTGGCCAAGGGGACTTAATTTTGCATAAACGGTGGGTTTGGCCCTTCTGGGTGCTGCGAGTTGTGGGGCCCAATAGGGAAATTCGATGTTTAAACCTTTAAATCCTTCTTCTTCTTCTGTACCATTGGAGGGACTTTATGTAATAAGAATAATTTCCCATGGTTTCTTTATTATCTAGGTGAGTGATACAGACCCTCTGGGCCTCTTGTTGAAATAAAAAAAATATTCATTAGATATTTCTTTCGTTTGTAGTTCGAAAATAAATCAAGAATAAGTAAGCGATAAAGGCCACATTGACACCTTGTTAATTATCAAGTGAAGCTGGCAAGTTCTAGACTTATTGAGTTTCTTGTTTGCAGGGCGAGGTTGTTCATTATTTCCACAAAGGCTGGTGGTCTGGGAATCAATCTTGTCGCAGCTAACAGGGTCATCATATTTGATGCTTCATGGAATCCGTCAAATGATGTGCAGTCTGTGTTCCGGGTGTACAGATTTGGACAGAACAAGCCTGTATATATATACCGATTCCTAGCACAGGTCAGTACATACATGTATATAGTTAGAAATGTGGTGAAATACAGCAGGCAAAGGGGATAAACTGTTAGGTGAATGAGACTCTGTGAACAATTAAGGAGGGTTTTAAAACTACAGGTGTATGTAAAACAAGACGAGTGAAGAACAAAGCATGACTTCATTTGGCAGGCTGTCTATTAGGAATCTAGCTTTACAGCCAGTCTTAATTCTTCTCTGGAAGTTTGATAATCTTTTGCGAGCAGACCCTGTTTTAACTGATGATTCTTAATTTTTATAATGGGATGGGAAAATAAGCAGCAAGTTTCCAAAAATCTTTATTTGTTTGGTACAGATGATGCTCGGCAAACGTTTTAAGCAAAACAAAAATAAAATGAAAACTGACGAAAAAAGTGGGATTGCTTTGTGGCATATTTCCTCCTTTCTATACAGTCTCTAAGTAAACCTGCCATTTCACAATCCAGCCACTTGAGCTAGAATTAAAGGTGTCGGGATGAGAGGTGGGAAATTTTTACAGGTAGAAAAAAAACATTGAACTTTTATAGCAATGTCTATCCTTGATTGCTTTGTTGAGTCATTTCTATCTTGTGTGGCCATGATATAGGGCACCATGGAGGAGAAGATTTATGAACGACAAGTAACAAAGCAGTCATTGTCTCAGCGTGTAGTAGATGAACACCAAATAGAGCGTCACTTCACCTCCCACGACCTCCAGGTCCTATACACCTTCAAACCTGACAGATTAGACGATCCCAACAGGGAAGAGAAGCCAACACCAGAATTGCCGAAGGTATTTAATGACAATCGGCTGTCGCAGTTCAATTTTAGCGATAACCCTTAAGTGTGATAATATTACCAGGATGTGGTTAAATATTTGGGTTGTCAACAGTTGGCCAGATCATTTTGTGCAAAGACCATTAACAAGATAAAACATGAATTTTTGAATAGTTGGACAAATAATAAGAAAAAAAGATTATGCAGAAGTAATATGCAGTACAAAGATTCGTTTTGTCTGGATAAAAAAAAATGTTCATCTGTTGATGTATGGTTTATTAAAAAAATCTTTGTAGGACCACATGCTTGCTGAGATGCTCCAGAGCCACAAGGAATGGATTTGTTGTTACCATAAGCACGATTCGCTGCTGGAAAACCAGATAAGTGAGGAGCTGACTGAGGAGGAGAGGCAGGCGGCTTGGAAAGAGTTTGAGGAGGAGAAGCAAGGCATCGCAAATAATGTCCGCCAGCAGATCATGGGTTAGTCAATATGTCATGCTACAGTCCACATCTGGTCTTTGTGCATATAGCGTAGTAAGAAAGGAATCATGTGATATCTGATTTTAAAATAGTGGAAACTAGAGTCACAAAGTTTGCATGGAAGGGTGCCAGTCAACAAGTAGATATCTAAGGGAAGATATGATCAGCTTAATCAGTGATATGTCAGACAAACAGCATTGATAATTTACAAGTCGATTGTAAATTTGCTTAGTAATTGCTAAGAATGTGTTTTAGAACTCTCTAAATTGTCACAACTATTATATTCTTTAAACAGGTTAATATAATCAATCAGAAGTACAACATTTACATTGTATAACAATTTCATACTTCTAAGATAATCTCAAGATGAACTTGTACAAATGTTTTAAGTTTAATACAAAAACTTGACCGATAGAAACGAATGACAATGAAGTTCAAATTCTAGAAATAATGATCGCATGATAAAATTTGTAAAAGATATTGACTGACTACAACAAGTTGAAAATAGTGGTTGAAATTATTTTATTATTCACTCAAGTCACTTGGTCCTTGATACACTCTAGAAATTTAACAGTTAGCTCTGACAATTAAAATAATGTGGGGAACACATCAGGCATATTTGGAACAAAGACTGTTGTTTTAAGAAAGACTTTTTCTAGGGCCCCTTTCAACTCGCCTGAAAGCAACAACAGAATTCTAGGTCCGACCTTTTTTCATAAACGAACAACTCTGGTTCAACTGTTTGGGTTGCGATAAATGAATGCAGCCTATGCTCACCAGGTCCATAGTCCTGACAGTTCTTTAGATTGTAATCAAATATAATTGAAGAAAATACAATATATGAATATATAATTTTGTGTGTTCTAGGTATGAACAACTTCCAAGGAATGGCTGGGGCAATGGGCCCTAACATTAACATGAATATGCTGATGCAGCAAGGCGGCCTAAGGCTCCCAGCAATGGGTGGTATGCCTGGCTCCAACATGCCATTCAACCAGCAGAACCTGCTGCAGTTGGTCCAGGATATGAAGACCAGGGTATGTTTGACTCGCAAACATTAAAGTGTCCCCTAATTCACGTTTTTGTCTCCAAAACAGCTTTACACCAAACATTTTTATCAGGGACTGTCCTATATCACTAAGAATGATGTTGGAGGGGGGTTATAGGATCCTGAAAATTTATAAATATACCCTAAATTTAGAATTTGTAGGGAATACTGAGGAAACGTGTTGGAGTGAGCTTTGACACTAGAGTTAGTAAGAATGAAATATTCTAAAATTTCTAAAAGTTGGTGAATTATATCTCCCCTTGAAATGAAAGGAAACATGTTGTTAGTACTGGTTCTGAAAATATTTTCTGGTCCGTAACTTTTAAACCGTAAAATATACCTTTATGAAACTTGAACTTTACCAGCAATCACCCCCAGGTGGGTTTGCAGTGCACTAATGACTATATTAAGTTTAGCTGGACATTCATCATGTGGTGAAAGATCAAATAATAAATGTAAAGCAAATATGCACAGTGGCTGATAAGGGGAAACAGGTATTTGTTCACTAAAACAATCTTTAGTTTAAAATTTATTTTGAATTGAAATCGGTGAAATATAATAGTAGTGTTTTTAAATAAGGAACTTGATTTTGTTGTTTGTTGATTGTAGTTCCCAAACCTGCCTGAGGACCAGCTGACGGCCAGAGTACAGGGCGTTATACGTCACATCATCACAAGTCAGTACATGCAGCAGCAGGAAATGCAGAAACGACAGGTAAGCTCAGCTTAATGATATACCTGTCTTTGCCCCGTAGAGAGAATAGAGACAAGGGGAAATAGAAAGAACAGACCTTTCTCCCACCTCTACATTCGTGTGAGATGGATGTATTCCTCATTGGTTTACTCAATGACCCTTACTATTGTGCCATCAGTCTGATGATAGTGTTATTCCATCTTTGCGTATTACAGAGTTATCTTCTCTTGGGAGCAGGTGTTGATTGTTACGTCATTGGTTTGTGTGAGAAAATTATGTCGTTTTCTCAAAAATTGATGACGTTACTCTCACAACCAAGTGACATAACAATCAATATCTGCTCCCAAGAGAAGATAACTCTGCAATACGCAAAGACGGAATACTATGACATAACAAGCTTAAGCCTGTTAAAATGTCATTAGACTGACTATGAAAATCTTGCATCCAGCAAGTGACACCACCTAAGAAACATACAGTTATTGCTTGTCCTAAGGTCACTGGCATGGAGCTAAAATTGGTGTTATACTGTAGGTATACAGTATTTTTTTCTAATCCTAATGTCAAACTTTTTAAACGACTTCTTCTGAAGAACTAAAAGGTATATGTATAGAATCTTCATATTTGGCTGTTGGCTTTCTGAGATAGAGCCCGACAATTTTGAGGATGAAAATAACCTTGACCTACTCTCAAGGTCACAGGGATCAAATATGTCAAAAACATCAAACGACTTCTTCTGAATAATCGAAAGGCATAAAATTATAATATTTGGCTGGTGGCTTCCTGGGATAGAGCTCACCAAAGATTGCAAATGAAAATGACCTCAACTTACTTTAAAGGTCACAGAGGTCAACAACATTTCAAGCTATTTGTTCTGAAGAACCAAAAGTAATGGATTCATAAGATTTGGGTGGTAGCCTTTTGGGATAGAGCTAACAAAATTTCAAACAAGTTCTGAAGAAAAGAAAAAAAAAGGATAGAATGTTGTAATATTATTTGGCTGGTAGTTTCAACTGATGGAGCCGACAAAGTTTGTGAGGGAAATATTTGTAGTGCAATATAATATTTAATGTGAATATTTTGCTGTGAGCGATACAGGCCGCCTCTTGTGCCAGATTTTTTACCAAAAATATTTTAAAAGATTCTCACCTTTGTGTATTCCATATCCCATATACTTTTGTATTATAGACTCCATTAGCCTCAGACCGGTAGAGAAAACAAACCTGTCTCTGACCAGTAGAGAGACTTGAGACCTGCCTTTTTGAAGCCAGTTTTAAGTACAGATATCTGTTTTGTGTTGTAGCTGGAACAACGTGAAATGCAGCACCAGCAGCAGCTTCATCAGATCCAGGCCCAGATCCAGCGCCAGCAGCAGCAGCTGAACGCACACCAGAGGATGGGGAGTAACTTTGATCAACAGCCCAACAACAGGAGATAATCCTTGTGGACATAGGCTACAGATATTGTGCTCTTTACGCAAATTCTGCTGTGGATTGGACACTGAGGATGCGGGTTACCACAGCATGATGATCTTACAGTAGTATATATTATAAAACCAAAATGAAGAAGCACAGCCGATTGACAGAAGGAATGATGTTCTCAATATCTTTTTCTGAGCGTGTTAGTCTGCTTAGCTTAATAACACCTTACTGAAGGGTTGTGGATAATTTATTATTGTTCAAGATTCTTTTGAGCATTCGAGTTTGAAAATAAACGTTATAGATGATATTTTTGTATCGGTAAAGTATAAACCTTGGCAAGATGTTGTTGAGCAGAACTGGACCCATGTATTGGGTTTGACCAGTTGTGACATTGTCATATGTAAAAAAATCTTTGTTCTAGTCTGTATAAATACCACCAGGAAAAAAATGGATGCTTTAAATTAATGTGATTTTTTTTTTTTTTAAATTGAACTAATAAAACTTGTGTGATCATGAACATAAAGCATTTAGAAAAAGGGACATAACTCAACACTCAACTGTCTAGCAAGGCAATCTAAATTTTGAGTATAGTTTGTTGTTATTGTTAGATTTAAATTGGTCTTAGCATGATTAAAATTGACAAATTTATTTGAATATTGAAGGATATTAATTAGAGGCATTTGTAATAATGTTTATGTCAACTTTCAATTTTGCATATTTTACAAAGCACTCTTTATGTATTTTACAAAGCACTCGTTATGTATTCATTGTTGAAATGGTAAATGATTATAGTCCTACACTATCGGGGTTTGTATACAATTTCTTGGGGGAAAAAATGGAAACTGAATAGAAAAAGTATGTAAATTTTAATGACTGGTCCTAAAAAGTCCTAGAATGAAATTTTAATTTTCATGCCATAGTTCTAATTTTGACAGACTACAGAATTGATTGATGAATTTGATAGAATCCTCTTAGCTTTGTCAAACTCTTGGTGTCTGCATTTAAACATCTCTGAAAGTTTCCCATTGTGCATTGATATTTGCTCATATTGCAATATTCTGATTATTCAAAGAAATAATAATAATAATGATCTGTATGTTTGTATTTGAAGCTCCTTGAAGTTTTAAGTCCTTTGAAATAGTCAAAATCTTGTACAAACCCTGAATACCCGACATCAGTGGGAACACCAGGCTATATTTCAGTGTGCCTGATTTTTGTTGGAACACAGAGTTATAATTAGTATGGTGTATCTGACATTTTCAGGAGCACAGGATGAACATCTGTTACACATGACTTTTTCAGGAGAACAAGATTATAATCTGATGCTCCTGACCTGTTTAGGATGTGGTTTAATTGTACATTGATTCTACCTTATTTATGATGCTGTTTATGTAATTGGGAACAGTTGAGTCCATTCAGATTGTAAAAATATACATTGTGCACACTATTTATGTCCTCAGCTTTTCACTTTTGACTGTGATCAGATAGAATGAAAGGATATGCGTGTGGTTAAGTCTTGCATGGGATGATGGGTAGGTCAGCTCTTGGTTGGTATTCATGTTTTCTGTGCGAGGATTGACAAGTCATTAAAGTAGAGCCAATGTTGTAATGTTAAGGTATTTTACATCATTTATCGTGTGTGTTGGTGCTTTTGTTTTTCTAGTGCTTCTAAGGTCACTAAAACCTTTGGTAGCTTGAGATTTGATGTAGAAAAACATGAGTTTGCGGTGATGTGAGAATCTGGTCTTATTCAAATTAATTGATTTTTGTTTTGTTTCAATTAGTAACATGGTTTCAGTACTGTTACCAGAGTAACACAGATATTACCTGTAAGACCTGGACAGTCTTGCAGGTTAAAAGTAATCAGGCCAAAATATAGGGCTGTTCCAAATATGAATGTAAGGGAGGGATGGGAGGCACTCTTTTTCAGAGACCCTATTACCTATCAAATATTAAAAGTGATTTGATGTAAGAAATTGTAGGCAAATCTGGTTTTAACCCCACCATCCACAATATATTAATACAGGTGCCTCCCACCTCCCCAATACAATGAACCCACTTGCCCCTAAAGTCACATTTGAACCTTACCAAATCAAAGACTGGGCAAGTCCAGTGTAAAAATGTATGGGTGATTGAATTATTTATGGAATAGCCTCTTACAACTAAATAATTCCTATTGAATCTCCACTAAAGAGCTATTACAGGTATATACTCCATTTGTTAGAGAAATACATCATCACAATGTTCAGTTTTTTTGTTTAAAATAATGCCATTATGATTTGTACAACAAACGGGAAGTTAATGTGGTTTTCATTAGGATGACTACAGGGAAGTTTATGTAAACTCGTTTTATAAACAGCATTCCTTAAATTTTGTGTAAGTAATGATTATTAATATTTAATGGATATTTCTAGTAGCTATGGCATTTTTTTCTGCTGATCACTTCCAATAAAACAGTTTTCATGATAGATCAACATTATACTTCTAGTGAAAGATGTGCAATGAAATATGGAATTAAACTTCAAAAGAAGGTATTATTTTAGTCATTTTAGAAGAATGCATTTGATCAGTTTTTGTTCTCATCAATTTTATGAATATTATTTTGGACATTAACATGATTTTAAACCAATTTACCTGAAAATGTACATTTTAGGCTTATTTTGGACAACAATGATTAAAACTTGTTTTAAATCAATTTTTCGTTTACATCTGTTTGCGCATGTACATTGTATTTATATGCTTTGATATGTATAGTCCACAAATAAATTGGTATTTAAAAACACAACGTTATTTTTGTTTGTCCTTTTTGAAAGACCAAACATTTTTTTAACTCAACTCAACAAAGGCCTAGTTAGCTTATGCTATGGTGTTTCATCAATACTTCATCTTTATTGAGTGTACATGTACTGTTAAGTAAATATGGTGGGCACTGGTGAGGTGTCTGATGTTCTGCGATCACTTCGATCACTAGCCCTCCACCTCTGGGTCGTGGGTTTGAGGCCTACGTGGGGGCAGGGGCCAGGTACTAGCCACAGATCATTGGTTTTTCTCTACCTCTGGTACAGCCTTAAATGACCATAGCTGTTCATATGATGTGTAACACTTGACTATCCAACCCAGCTTTTTATATGGGAGTGGTCAGCATTTTTAAAATAATCTATACTATGCTTTGAAGTATCTCTAAGTCGAGCAAATTCAATTTTATATAAACAAAGATTGTAGGGGCTACTTCTTTAATAGAGTGAAGGAATTGTCTCCGTGAACTTTATAGATATGTATAATTGATAGAAGAAACTTTTCACTAACTGGCTAAGCTATTGGGTTCCTTTGTCATCTGTGGTACCTCTCTTTGAAATTTTTCTGAACCCTTAGGACCAATAACAACCAAATTATCCAGAGGTGATGTTAATTTAGATTTGCGAGAAGGGGCTGGCCCCTTCCTAAAGCAAAACGGGTAAAATTTCAGGTGTCTTGAAAAAAGCATTGATATTTATATATATATGTCATTTTGATATCTATTATGTAAAAATATACAACAATTTTAAGTTTGTTTAGGAAAATTATATAAACGTTGGCACTTTACAATACATTGTACAGTACTCTAATGTTTAAACATTCAAAGGTCTTTCTGAAGAACCAGAGGACATGGAGTCAAGATATTTGGGCAGTAACTTCCTGGCGTGGAATGCTGCAGAGTGCAAAAATAAATGACTGTCGTTTATTCAAGGTCAAAGGTTAAATTTGTAATATGGCCATAAGTTTGCTGGCGATACGTGCTACGAAACGGGAAAAGAAATTACTTTGACCTAAAGTTACAGGGGTCAAATCTATTGTTCAAAAGCTTTTTCTTGAGATCCAAAGGGTTGTATAGTCATGATATATGTCATGAAATGCCACAAAGTATGCAAAAGAACAAAAACTTTACCCATATTAAGGTCACAAATGCCAATTGTAATAAAACACTTAAACGACTGTATTTCTAAAACACAAACAGTCCTGAGTCATGTTGTATGGATAGTAGCTTGCTGGCTATAAGTGCTACAAAATACGGGAATTGAAATTACCTTGACCTATTTTTAAGGTCATCGGGATCAAATATGTTGTAACACTAAAGAGGCGTCTTCTGAAGAACCTAAAAGCCCTCATAACGCTGTCTGAAACACCGCGAGTTCTTGAGTCATGATCTATGCATATATGGCCAGTGGTTGGCTGGCAGTAAGTGCTACAAAGTATAAGGAAAGAAATTACCTTGACATATATTCAAGGTCATCATAAATGCCGAGCATCTTGGTGGCATGCTTGGGTAAAGAAATGACCTTGACTCATATTCAAGGTCACAATAGTCAATTATGTTTAAAACAAATCAGACGGCAATTTCTGAAACACAGTTGAAACAAAACTGAAATCAAGAGATAGAAATTAAACAGCATGCAAAGGTTAAAAATAGAGGAACAAAACAGAATATTGGAAAGATAGAATATATCATCGCGAACCTCTCTAATTAATTACAGAAAAAAGATCAGGAATGTGTCCTTATGAAGAGAAAATGTTTAAGATATTTTGGACAAAAGACAAAGAATCAGTAACCCATGCAGCCATTTCCAAAGTCTAAAAAACAAAAGCGTGGGAAATTATAAGCCTTGGTAATACAAACATGCGATGTCGAGAATATTTCTTTATCAAATTGTTCACCGAGGTCATCGTGTCCATTGCGTGAAATATTTAGGATAACTGCGGGACAGAGTTTATTTGGAGCGGTAGAAAGTTATTATGCCACAAAGAGACACACTGACCGGAAATGATTTTTCAGGAATCGCTTTGGTAAGGGACGCCACATTCTTTGTACCGCACGCGTTTGCTTTTAAGACATTGAACAATGGCGCTAATTGCGCAAGAATTAAACACCTCGCCTGTGTTCCTTTAAAACATCAGCGAGGTTCAATGATCAAATTGACACTTTTGACTTAATTGCAACATTCAATCTTTATTAGCTTAAACCTTGCAGTTTATCAATACAGTGCATATATCTATACAACACTCCGACCTTGCATACATGAGATAGTGTAGAGAGTGATTCCTTTCAGCTTTAACAGTATTGCATCTCCTTTTCTTACTTTACCTCAGAGATGTTGCTAAATTAGACAGTTCTTTATTATTTCTTGTTGTCATCGAATCTAAAAATAAATGCCCTAGGTTTTTTATGATTATATTTTTAGCTCACCGGGTCCGAAGGACCAAGGTGAACTTATGCCATACTGTTGCGTCCGTCGTCCGTCCGTCCGTCAACTATTTCTTTTAAACGACTTCTTCGTCTTAACCACTTATTGGAATTGAACTAAATTTGACTGGAAGCATCCCTAGGTTGTGGGGATTCAAAATTGTACAAATGGTGGGACTGACCCCCAAGGGGGCTGAGGGGCGGGGCCAAAAGGGGGCAGTTTGGCTATATTGTTTTAAGCGACTTTTTCTCTGGAACTAAGAAATGGATATCAACCATATTTGACTGGAAGCATCCCTAGGTGATGGGGATTCAAAATTGTACAAATGGTGGGGCTGACCCCCCAGGGGGTTGAGGGGCGGGGCCAAAAGCAGGCAATTTGGCTATATTGCCTTAAGCGACTTTTCTCAGGAACTAAGAGATGGATATCAACCATATTTGACTGGAAGCATCCCTAGGTGGTGGGGATTCAAAATTGTACAAATGGTGTGGCTGACCCCCAGGGGGCTGAGGCGCGGGGCCAAAAGGAGGCAATTTGGCTATATTGCTTTAAGCGACTTCTTGTCTCGAACTAAGAGCTGGATATCAACCATATTTGACTGGAAGCATCCCTAGGTGGTTGAGATTCAAAATTGTACAAATTTTGGGGCTGACCCCCGGGCTAAGGGGTGGGGCAAATAAGTTTATCACTTGGAAATGGTTGAGATCCCCACCGTATAACCATAGATACAATTGCTGAGTATGAAGAGAAGAATGCACAGTTGTTTCCAGGATGGCACTAGGGTCTGGCCCCACCCTTGGAGACATAGTCCCTGGGTCATAACTTTGAAACGATTGAGATCCCCTCCCCAAAACTATATATACAATTGTTGAGCATCAAGAGACGAATGCAGTCATGATATTAGAATTGATTCCAGGGTCTGTCCCACCTTTGCAGACTTAAACCCTGGGTCATAACTTAGAAACGGCTGTGATCACCATCACAAAACTATAAATACAAATGCTGGGCAAAAAGAGACGAATGCAGTCATGATATTAGAATTGATTCCAGGGTCTGTCCCACCTTTGCAGACTTAACCCCTGGGTCATAACTTAGAAACGGCTGTGATCCCCATCCCAAAACTATAAATACAAATGCTGGGCAAAAAGAGACGAATGCAGTCATGATATTAGAATTGATCCTGGATTGGCCTTAGGGTCTGGCATATTCCCTTGGATCTCCTTTTCGAGAATATTTTGCCATGATTGATTAGATATCCAGGTGAGCGATACATGCCCTCTGGGCCTCTTGTTTAATGAAACGGTTTCTAAAAACATTATAATGACTACATTTAACAATAAAATGATATTCGTCTTTAATATCGCCAGTGCTACAAATTCTATCTTTTCTCTCTAAACCATGAAACCGATCCGTTTCAATATTCAACGTATGCGATGACAACCGAATTTTAGCAATTATTTATATTTTGTAATCCAATAGATTTAACTAAAAACTGTTTAAGACAAAAAATACCACAAATCCATTTATAAAGAGAACACTTAGCAGGTGAATTAATTAAATCTAGACACTCCTGTTGAAAAATGTCTTGCATTCTACATTTAATAATATTCAGAATTTGACCTTCATTACCCTCTGTTTGCCATAAATATCCCAAACCTAACCTACATAATTCATTTCGTATGTTATTTTTCCAGTCTCTGCCCCTTTCAATCATCTCATCGTAACAATCAAGCCTTTAAAACGCAATTGTCCGAAATCCTAAGTTTAAGCTAATATTTAAAAATTCTATTTTTTTTTTTATTATATGTAAAGGTAGTCTGCCTAATTCTTGATCAATCATAACATTAGGTGTGCTTTTCTTAACCCCAAAAATTCGTTTACAAAAATTCAAATGCACTTTCTCAATATCTGGAGCGTATTGAAAGCCCCAAACTTCAGCTCCGTAGTTTAGGACACTGCATACAAAAGTATCAAAAACGTTAAGTTGGGTTTCAATATTGAAATATTTCCTTTTACAAACATTGGATACAGCATATAGTGCTTTCCTACCTTGTTCTGCTCATTTCTATTGTGTAACACTAAATTTACCATTGAATTTCATTAGAATTTCAAAGTAGCTTAAACTATCAACATTTTCTAAAACATTATCATCATAAAACCATTTTTCTTCCTCCTTCAACTTACCACCATTTCTAAAAATCATGACTTTAGTTTTTTTCAACATGGACAGTTAAATTCCATTTTTTAGTGTATTGTAACAGTGTGTCAAACATTTTCTGCAATCCCTCTGCCGATTCAGCTAACACAGCCATATCATCTGCGTACATTAGAAGAAATAAGTTAATAGTTTGGAGTTCTATAGAAGGACAGTTATCAGTTAAAAAATGCATCTCACAATCATTCGCATAAAGCGAAAATAAAATCGTTGACAATATTTCGCCTTGGAACAAACCATTCCCGCATTCGAAGAAAATAGACATTGAATTGTTGAATTTAACACAACATTTTACATCGTTATATAAAGAACGTATTATATTTAATAGTTTACCTTCTACTCCTTCCTTAATTAGTTTAAACCACAAATCCTGTCTGTTAACAAAATCAAAAGCTTTCTTATATTCTATGAAACAACAATATAGCTTCTTTTTCAAAGTTCTATTAATTAACGATTGCAAGACAAACACAGCATCTATGGTTGACATATGCTTTCTGAAACCACATTGAGCGTCACTTATTTTAGAATAAGCGGTATCAAATTCCATCAGTCGATTATGTAAGGTTGCTGTAAATAGTTTGGCTTAACAACTAACTCGAGTAATTCCTCTATAATTATTTGTGTCATTCTTGTCCCCGTTTTTAAAAAAAGGGAATAATATTACCTATTGACCATATGGAAGGATAGTTACCAGATTTGAACATTTTATTAAATAATTTAACAAGACAAGGTAATAAAACCTCTTTACCTCTGATAAAAAAAATCATTAATTAACAAATCAAGGCCACATGCTTTTTCTGTGTATAAGTTATTGATTACTTTATTAACTTCTTCTTTAGAAATGTCAATGTCAAGTTCATAAAACATAACTTTAGGTATATCATTAGTGGCATCATAATTTCTCAAAAATCGGTTACAGCCTCATTTCCACAAGGTTTCTTGGATGTCAAATTACTAAAATGTAGGTAAAAATCGTGTTCATCAAGTGAAGACTTCACATTATTCTTTCTGTTATTGAAATATTTATAAAATTGTTTGGATTATTTTGTTCTCATTAAGTTCAACATGTTTCCTTGATGTGTTTTGTACTGCCTCTTCAACCTAAGTTCAACATGTCACCTTGATGTGTTTTTTACTGCCTCTTCAACTTAAGTTCAACATGGCACCTTGATGTGTTTTGTACTGCCTCTTCAACCTAAGTTCAACATGTCACCTTGATGTGTTTTTTACTGCCTCTTCAACTTAAGTTCAACATGGCACCTTGATGTGTTTTGTACTGCCTCTTCAAATTAAGTTCAACATGTCACCTTGATGTGTTGTGTACTGCCTCTTAAACTTAAGTTCAACATGTCACCTTGATGTGTTGTGTACTGCCTCTTAAACTTAAGTTCAACATGTCACCTTGGTGTGTTTTGTACTGCCTCTTCAACTTAAGCTCAACATGTCACCTTGATGTGTTTTGTACTGCCTCCTCAACTTAAGTTCAACATGTCACCTTGATGTGTTTTTTACTGCCTCTTCAACTTAAGTTCAACATGTTTCCTTTATGTGTTTTGTACTGGCTCTTCAACTTCAGTTCAACATGTTACCTTGATGTGTTTTGTACTGCCTCTTCAACCTAAGTTCAACATGTCACCTTGATGTGTTTTGTTCTGCCTCTTCAACTTAAGTTCAACATGTTTCCTTTATGTGTTTTGTCCTGGCTCTTCAACTTCAGTTCAACATGTTACCTTGATGTGTTTTGTACTGCCTCTTCAAATTAAGTTCAACATGTCACCTTGATGTGTTTTGTATTGCCTCTTCAACTTAAGTTCAACATGTCACCTTTATGTGTTTTGTACTGCCTCTTCAAATTCAGTTCAACATGTTTCCTTGATGTGTTTTGTACTGCCTTTTCAACTTAAGTTCAACATGTTTCCTTTATGTGTTTTGTCCTGGCTCTTCAACTTCAGTTCAACATGTTACCTTGATGTGTTTTGTACTGCCTCTTCAACCTAAGTTCAACATGTCACCTTGATGTGTTTTGTATTGCCTCTTCAACTTAAGTTCAACATGTCACCTTTATGTGTTTTGTACTGCCTCTTCAAATTCAGTTCAACATGTTTCCTTGATGTGTTTTGTTCTGCCTCTTCAACTTAAGTTCAACATGTTTCCTTTATGTGTTTTGTACTGGCTCTTCAACTTCAGTTCAACATGTTACCTTGATGTGTTTTGTACTGCCTCTTCAACTTCAGTTCAACATGTTTCCTTTATGTGTTTTGTACTGCCACTTCAACTTCAGTTCAACATGTTTCCTTGATGTGTTTTGTACTGCCTCTTCAAATTAAGTTCAACATGTCACCTTGATGTGTTTTTTACTGCCTCTTCAACTTAAGTTCAACATGGCACCTTGATGTGTTTTGTACTGCCTCTTCAACTTCAGTTCAACATGTTTCCTTTATGTGTTTTGTGCTGGCTCTTCAACTTCAGTTCAACATGTTACCTTGATGTGTTTTGTACTGCCTCTTCAACTTAAGCTCAACATGTCACCTTGATGTGTTTTGTACTGCCTCTTAAACTTAAGTTCAACATGTCACCTTGGTGTGTTTTGTACTGCCTCTTCAACTTAAGTTCCACATGTTTCCTTTATGTGTTTTGTACTGGCTCTTCAACTTCAGTTCAACATGTTTCCTTGATGTGTTTTGTACTGCCTCTTCAACCTAAGTTCAACATGTCACCTTGATGTGTTTTGTTCTGCCTCTTCAACTTAAGTTCAACATGTCACCTTTATGTGTTTTGTACTGCCTCTTCAACTTAAGCTCAACATGTCACCTTGATGTGTTTTGTACTGCCTCTTCAAATTAAGTTCAACATGTCACCTTGATGTGTTGTGTACTGCCTCTTCAACTTAAGTTCAACATGGCACCTTGATGTGTTTTGTACTGCCTCTTCAACTTCAGTTCAACATGTTTCCTTGAGGTGTTTTGTACTGCCTCTTCAGCTTAAGTTCAACATGTCACCTTGATGTGTTGTGTACTGCCTCTTCAACTTAAGTTCAACATGTTTCCTTTATGTGTTTTGTCCTGGCTCTTCAACTTCAGTTCAACATGTTTCCTTGAGGTGTTTTGTACTGCCTCTTCAGCTTAAGTTCAACATGTCACCTTGCTGCGTTTTGTACTGCCTCTTCAACTTAAGTTCCATTTTCTTATCGTGTAACTGCGTTTTTTTACAAACAAGTGTATCATGATTTTCTTCGTTCTTACATGAATTGAACATAAATAAAGCATTCTTATATTCGTACTGCCTCTTCAACTTCAGTTCAACATGTTTCCTTTATGTGTTTTGTCCTGGCTCTTCAACTTCAGTTCAACATGTTACCTTGATGTGTTTTGTACTGCCTCTTCAAATTAAGTTCAACATGTCACCTTGATGTGTTTTGTACTGCCTCTTCAACTTAAGTTCAACATGTCACCTTGGTGTGTTTTGTACTGCCTCTTCAACTTAAGTTCCATTTTCTTATAGTGTAACTGCGTTTTTTTACAAACAAGTGTATCATGATTTTCTTCGTTCTTACATGAATTGAACATAAATAAAGCATTCTTATATTCCATATAGCGAAGTTTGCAAATTTCATTGAACCAGGGTTTATCTTTTTCTTCTTATGATCACGTACAGGATGAGTAAATACACTTAGAGGTAATAACAGTTCTTTCAGAAGATCGGTAAATTTTAACACATTCATTAAAACCAATTTGGCTCACATCATTACTGTCGCAACTATAAGATAACTCGTTTCTATTACTTTCTAAAATATGACGTAAAATCTCTGTATTATTATCATTCCATCTTATACGTGTCAGATTCTGATTACCAACTTGTTCCTGGACATAATTTACAACATTTGAACGCAAAGTAACACATTGGGATTGGTCTGAGAAAGCATTAAGTATCCCACTTTCAAAATTGATAATATCTTCAATAACAGTATCAAAAGTTAATACATAGTTAATAAGACTAGTACCCTACTATTATAGAAGGTACATGGATTATTTTTCAAAGCCGTAGCACTATCTGTTGTGTAGCGGAACTTGACTGGGTCGATCGTCGGCGGTCAGATCAAAGGTTGCCGTTTCTATAAAAGAAAAGGGGAAAAATAGAAAAAAATCATCTAAAAGAGGGAAAAAAGACGGTACAAAATAATTAACTTGACTATGAGATTAGAGGTTGTCATTTTTACCAGCCGTATTACCGCTGCCCTACAATTCGCAATATAATAAAGTGAGATCACAGTATGCATATATACTCGGACTAAAATAAATTCAAGGAGATTTTTCTTATTAATCATTAAAAACAAGAAATCAATAAAAAAAATATATGATTGAAAAAAATCTTTTTTAAATTTGTAAGTGTATGCTAAAGCATACAAGCTCACATGTATGCTACGCCACTGTTTTTTACTTTCACCAGCTACCACGGAATTAGATTATCTAAGCAAATTTTATTCGCTTTTTGCTTCCAAAGATATATAACCACTAACACAATTACTGATTACGCTGCAGTGCAGAACAGAATTAAGTCAGAAATACTCTTTAGTTTACAGTATGCACATTGAACTATATTTTTTTCAATTTTTGAAATTACTTCTGACAGAGACATTCGTCTCTACTTCAGATTTTGTTAAAAGAATCTGACATTTGGCGCGAAATATAGTTCTGGACCTTCGAGTTTCCTTCGGAAAATTATTTTACACGGAATTCAAGCATGCATAAATGTACTTGAGTGGTATTTAAGTGCGAATAGCTATAATTTCAAGTATTTATGGAATAGTTAAGTAGCAAAACTAATATTTTTTGTGTTAAAGTAAGATTATCATTTCCAGTTGAAAAATACGCAACTGTGGCTTATGTAGCCGAGCAAAATTAAAGCTGCTGGATATCTACTTTTACATTCCGAATTCAATATGGCGGTGTCTATATATCGTACCTCTTGTTTACACGTTCTCTGTAGAAAGGGTTTACGTTGCCACCACTTGTGGGAATGCCTGTAATGGCGCAGCAATCCGTGGTGACTTTTATCTTTCTATTTGTTATATAGTATCCTATTACAGATATGAATTTCGGAAAGATGAATAAACTGTCGCGACCAAGTTCCAGAATGACGACCGTTTCACAGAACAGCTTTGAAAGGTTTGTGATGGCGTCAAATTTTCTCATGACAGATGACACGGTTGGGTACTTTCATTGTCTCGAATATGTTTTGTTGATGTGTGTGTGTGTGATTTTTTTTATGTAACCTAATGTGTCGGTGCTGGATGAATTCGCCATTATCAGTTTGAGCACAAAGGCTCATGAATATGATATGGGTACTAGTAATAATTCTGCATTTGGGTAACAGTTAGCCATTTGAGTAACAATTTAATTACTGATATGGGGAATAATATGAAATGAAAACACATGCAGTTTTTTGAAACATTATGAACAGAAAAAAAAGAGCGTCGTTCTTTTAATGACAATGATACAATGAGATGCAATTGTGTGCAAAAAAATGTTAATTCAGTCATTCTTGTGTAAATGACAAATGGTATCACCTCCATTACTTATAGTGTGTTGTTGAGTACGTAGCTATACAATAACACAGAAACCATCATGCTCACCTGTCACATTTGCTCTGGTTGATCCCATTGACAACAACACACTGAAGTCAATGGAGAACAAAATCAGTGATACGGTTTGTCATTTTTAGCAAAAGTTACAGTAGACATCAGAATTGATAACTTTTTGTGTACAAATGTACTTAGTTGTGTTATTTATTGGATTAAGTTGGAGGAATAACCCCTTTTTTTTCTCCAAGTGTTTATAAGAACTTCGTGTGTTTTTATTTCACTTTCTTCCCCATTTCAGTAATGTATTTTTTTACTCAAATGGGTGACTGTTCCCCAAATGCAGGATTATTACCCATATGAGCCGTTGTGCCAAACCTGATTATGCAAGTAGGGAACATCTCTACTGTAGTTCAGAATTCAGTAACTTGAGAGGACGTAGTGGAACTCTAATGCATCCTCTCAAGTCGTAGCTTAAAAATCCTCTCAAGTCAGAAAAAAATGTATACAGAAGTGTACAGGCCAGTCATAAACACTATACGTCTCGTTCGCATTCACAAGTCAAGAAACGAAGATATTTCATTTCGCTATGACTACATGATTGAAGATTTTGAATGATTGCTTATCATTTTTTCAGTGACAATGTCTTCGGTGACTTTGATGATGACAACAAAAACAATAAGAGGTAAACCAAATCATTAAGGTTTTAATGCATTTTCTAACATTTATATAAAAAGCCTTCCATTTCACCAATTAGATCTAATTGGCAAAAAAGAGGTGACTAGAATTTACAGAGCTGTCAGTGTACCCAAGCACTTGTAATTTAATCTCTCCAATAATCCATAGAGCATTTTCCAATATGTGTGTTTACAAATGTAAAGTGGTCTTTTGGCTTTCAGTTGACTCAAATTTCAAGACTATGTTTGCTGATTAAATGGTAAAATTATCACTCAAATATAGGCAACCATGTGTTCTATAAAACTCATAGTATAATTTTTGGCGTCTTTTATATTGAATACTATATATATAACAGCACTAGCGTTGCACATTTATCACTTAGAGGTATCATAAATGAAGCAAGCCATGAGAGGCCGTAAATGTAAAAACTATAGTTTGTTTTAATAAAATACCATTGCTTTAATGTGTAACAAAAAAATGGAAATAAATTTTTCATGAAAGATTATGTTGAAAATTACTTTCATTCGTAGAAATAAGTTCATGCGCAGAATATTACGACATGGCTGTACTATTTTCGAATCTCACAGCCATTATAGTTTTCCCCTTAGGAAATATTTATTTCGTATACTGGACTAAGTTTAACTGTTCCCATTATTTATCTCTGCTAAATGCTCTGCATTTAAGGTAATTGCAACATATGGTTAACCCTTGTAAGTATAATGTAATTGTATAATTGGAATGCTATGCTAGGTGCCTTCGGCTTGGTATTTCAGTGAGGTAGCACTACAAAATTGGCACCATGCAAATCTGCGCTATATACAGGCTCCAGCATACTTAACATGCATAGAGGCATACATTACACACATGGGGCATATCCGTTAAATGCCACTAGCTGTTAAAAGGACGTTAAACAAAATGAAACAAATTTCAGTCCAAGTTTTTGAGTGGTCTTTCAAACTGGTCCATGTTTTAAAAAAGGTTGCATTGGAAACTGAGTTGAATATTTTTGACCTTCAGATATATTTCAGGTAGTTTGAATTGATTGATGGTAAAGTAAGAGATATATTTATGTAATCAATAATAATACATCTACAGTTCACATTTTCTTCTCAGAAATTTTCTGTCGGAATGTTTCTGAAAGGTACTCACTACCCGGTACTCCATAATAACGCTACCAACTGGCAAAAAACGACAAGCCCTTGATTGATTGATGATTTTATGATATGTTTCTTTCAAACTTTGTTTATATGTATCACTCTACAACTGAATTGCATATCCTGTAACTTACACAACTTGACATCCTTTAGAGTTAATCGCAACATGAGCGAGAAGAAGAGGCGTGACCAGTTCAATGTGCTGGTCAACGAGTTGTGCTCTATGGTTTCTACGACCAACAAGAAAATGGACAAATCCACGGTCCTGAAGTCCACCATTGCTTACCTAAAAAATTACCAAGGTATGTAGCCTATCATCATATGGTGTTTACAGTTACGAAGATGTTAAACCCAACCGTGCAAAATGGCTATATAAAAAATATGTAGATGTATGTAAATGTTTCTGAAATTACACCTAGAAAACCATATTCATTGTACTTGTAGTTCACAGATGGGAAAGAAACCCCTGATATTTACATTATTTGTGATTGGTGTGATGAATAATTCCCACAAAAGTTTGCAATATTTTCTCAACTGAAAGGGCACAAAAGGTAATTATAACTTCTGGTATTAAAATGTATAGGGCACAAAATAGCTTCTATTACTATTACTGTCATTGAAAAGTTTCTGTTATGACTTAGGATGGCTGTAATCTGTTGCTGTAACATACTGTAAAGGCGGTCACTTGCTGTAGCATGTTGTAATGACTGATGTAGATGTATTATGCTGTGATGACAGTATCACATTTCGTAATCCTACAGAGACAGAGGAGCAGGCACAGGCAAACGAGATCAAGGAGGACTGGAAGCCATCATTTCTGTCCAATAATGAGTTTACACATCTGATGTTGGAGGTGAGATAATATTAGTTTTTCATTCCTTATGTCATCTTCGATCCTCAATGATTTTCTCTCACTTTTGATCTCTGCACATCTGGAATATGTCATATCAAAATCGAAGGCAGGCGGCTAGGTATTTGATTGGTCTTGGGTAAAAAAAACTCTGACCAATCCCGAGGCCAATATACCTGTGCTTTGAAGATTACAGAGGAATGACAACCAACTTCAGAGCCTGTCAATTATACCGTTATGCAACCAAGAGATTCTTTTGATGTACATCAAATGATCAAACTAGTCTTCTTGTCTCATCCACAAGGTGGTGCACACTGAGCCTTCGTTTTTGCCATGACATAATCCAGGGGTGCAGAGAGTGAAAGTGAGTTTAACCCCTGGACTATCAAGGATGTTCTTATGTGGACATTTAAAGTAACCTTTATGTACATTAAAACCTGTCTTTACTAACAACTGCAACAGTGTTACTGGATCATTTGGTCAGATACAACAGTGCATCAGTAGTGTTTTCTCTCTCCCCTCCCCAAAACCTTTTTTTGGAAACTTCCATATACCGTAAAAACCCATGTAATTTGTGCACCTATGTAATTTGCGCAGGTACTTTTTGAGGCTGAAAATCTGGAAAAAAGCTTCTACTTGAATATTTTGCGCACCCCAAAAAAATGGGGAAAAAACGATGTTCCGAAAATCGATCTCTAAATTGTAATTTTTTTAAATATATTTCTTATGATTTTTTGTCATTGACGTAAAACGATATTATAAACCAAGAAGAAACTACGTAAAATGTGTATTTTGTTGTTTGTTTTCTTTTGATTATCTGATTACACATAACACACAAGTGTGCGCATATCGGCATGTTCATCAATTAATTTTAGCTACATTTTACAAAAAACGTTTACTTGCTTACAAAAACATACCAATTAATTAGTGTTATTGTGTTGTAACAGCTGGTGCATATCTCCTGGTGAAAGACATAATTAGATACCTTTTTTAAAATTACCATAATTACGATAAGTGAGAAGGGCTCATCATGGCGGCTTGGGTAGCGTCACTTCAAACCAGGTCATGTCACAGTTCAGCGATATTTTTTGGCCACACAATTTTTACCTACTGTAAAACTATTAAAATCGGTCATCTGTGGTCATGACTGCTGGTTTGGCGACATTAACAGGTAAGTTAACCGGAGGGCATAACTTCAAAAACATCGTTTGGTCCCGGACAATAGGCCAGGTAGGATCGCATGCTGCAGCGTAAATTAGAGAAACTTCTCAACACTACAGTCAATACAAATTACAATGCAGTAATTAGCTAACACTATATCTGTGATTACCCGTTAACAATAGCTCTGCTAATTGAAATGATTTGCAGTCGCGGTCGACAGACCATGTTTTTTTTTTTTTCATTCGCCAACACGTGGTGTGAATTACGAAGCCCTACTGCATTGTCTTAATAACTACAGACTGATTGGACCGATTAGGGATAATAAAAGAATATGTTTATACTAGAAGCATGGATAATCAATACATCCTCTTCAAATCTACTCCAAGGGGAAAAAAATCAAAGCAGACTATTTTTACGATGCTTCATTTAACAAATATTGAAATAATTCACGAAGTTATTATCAATCACGTGTTTACGTAGTGTTAGACGCGAGATCAACATGAAAGTGAGTCGGGGGAAAAAACCCATGCTGTTCGCACAGGGGATTTGAAAAAAAGATAACAGAACTTACATGGAACGGAGCTTAAATTGAACAACTACATTTTCGTAATAGTATGGGGAAAACGCACCGAGATGTCGAAACGAAATTGATCAGCGATTTTCTGGCATAGACAGGAATTTGGCTAAACTTTCTTTGCTAACAGTTACCTATTTAATAATACTTTTCACATAAACTCGGGTATCAACACAGCATATATCAATTGTATAATTTATTGATGTTTGACATAAATAAATGTGTTGATCGTCGTTTGTCTTTGAGTTCCGTGTACCAAGGGAGATTATCTCTTGTCCAAGATGACGGTCTGCCAGAATCATCGATCTTTGACGAAAAAAAATTGAAATTGCTTATACGCACCCCCCACTTTGTGTATTAAATTTCTGGAAAAAAAGTGCGCAAATTACATGGGTTTTTACGGTATATGTACTAAGTAGCAGTTACAATATACACTGGTGTTAGTTGAGCAGCTAAAATCCAAATATTTCGTCTTTGGAGCCATATTTAAGCTCTGACAGATATTGCAGATATTGGTTAAGTCAAATTTTCACTATAAATATATATTAACACAAGTTTGTTGTATATTTTGAAGTTCTTGGTGTTGTTAATGTATCACTTAGATTTTAAGATAACCATATATATTGCAGGCATTGGACAGCTGTTTGCTTGTGTTCACACAACAAGGGAGTATCTTGTATGTGTCAGAAAGTATAACTTCCCTCCTAGGCCACTTACCTGTAAGTACATAGAGGATCTTACATGAGTGTCATATTGAATTTATTTATTAAAACAAAGGGGGGGGGGGGGGAGGGCTTAGTTATTTGTTAAAACAAAGTTTCGTTATTCATTTTCATTTCAAGGTCAAAAGGGTCATTTGTATTAAAATTATGAAACAACTTCTTTTTAAAAACATAGCCATAAGGCTGGAAGTAACAGTATTTAGGCTGTTGCTTGGATGAAGGGCTATCAACTTTGTTCAGATTAATGAACTGAACCTTACTGAAGATACTGAAGAAAATGGTTTTGAAGATAAAACATTTTGTTTCCCTTCCTTTTTGCAGAATGATCTGGTCAACAAATATGTATACAGCTATATACACGAGAATGAGAAACAGAATCTATACAACAAGTTGTTCCACTTCAGCATGCTCTCCCCAGAGGAGATGGAGAACGGTGGGTTCATCTTCAAACTCTCTGTCTATGGGTTGGGTTCATCTTCAAACTCTCTGTCTATGGGTTGGGTTCATCTTCAAACTCTGTCTATGGGATGGGTTCATCTTCAAACTCTGTCTATGGGTCGGGTTCATCTTCAAACTTTCTGTCTATGGGTTGGGTTCATCTTCAAACTCTCTGTCTATGGGTTGGGTTCATCTTCAAACTCTCTGTCTATGGGGTGGGTTCATCTTCAAACTATCTGTCTATGGGTTGGGTTCATCTTCAAACTCTCTGTCTATGAGGTGGGTTCATCTTCAAACTCTTTGTCTATGAGGTTGGTTCATCTTCAAACAATCTGTCTACTGAAAATAGAAATGATGAGCAACAACGCCACTGAATCCGGTACAAAATGAATGTTTGATTTACATTCACTTCAGCACTTTGGATGTAAATCAAACATTACATTTTGTACCGGATTCATTGGTGTTGTTGCTCATCATTTCTATTTTCATTTGCTCTGCTTTCCCTGATGAGCACTGTTGAATACCATTAAGGTATCCACCCCAGGATCCCTACCGCCACTATGGAACTGACTTCCTTGCAGGGATGCTGGGTCTCCACCCCCCTGTTGTTTCTGTCTACTGGTTTGAAATTTTAATTAATTTATATATATTCTGGTACTGGGCACAAAATAACGTATACTATTTTGCAATGTTAAAGTTTTGTCCTTTTCGCCTGAAGTCGTTAATATAGGGAAATTTATCATCTGGTAAAATGTATAGGATGACTTTATTTTACATTTGAACATGTATTTAACTTTTCTGTCAAATAATGTGTTGTGTTTACAGAGAAGAACCAACTGAATTTTAGCTGCCATTTTCAAAGAGGTAGCTTAACAGCAAAAGAAACTGATGTTTATGAGTCTGTCACTTTTACTGGATTCCAGCACTGGAATGGTAAATAGTAGTTAATTGAAGCATAATGTTTTCCTTAAAGCTATTGTATTTTAATTTTGACTTTGCTTGATATGCATATTATATGGACCTGTAGATAATTGTTTTTTAGAAGGTCTAATTTCGATTGAGACAATTTTCGAAGTGTCACTTCAAAAGTGAAATGCCATCTTTCTTCTGATGCAATATATGTAAAATGTGTTTCAATGTACCTAATGTCATGTTGCCCTTCTTCACCAGTTGTTGGCATGTAAACAGTAGGTAAATATTTTTACAGAAACTGGTCTTGACAGTAAATAAGATAGATAAATCTTACATAAGTTAATCATAATTTACTCATTACATTTTCTTTTTTTCATTAATTTTGGATGGGGCCTTTTTATCTCATTTTGGAAAGACAATGTACCATTCGGGAAGGAAATGTTCAGGGGTAAATTGCAAATTTTGGGAAAAAGGCATAAATATGAAATAGTTTCATTTGGGAATTGGGTCCATTATCGGCCAAAAAATGTCCCCAGAAAAAACACTGCATGATTGACAGTAGGTCTATGAGATATAGATGTTTAATAGGCGTTCTCAAGTTTTCATAGACTAGACCTGATGCCAGAACAGTTTACATGTAAATTTAGAGCTTGAGTTTGAAATGAAGGAAATGAAGTGCATGTGAAGAAAAGGAACATTCAGAACACTTTTCCTGTCACTGATAAACTTATTGAATCATACACTTATTAGAAAATAACTTCATAGACAATTTGGTCTATGAACTGATTGATTCACATAGACCTACATTGTTTTCATGGTGATTGTCTATGGGTCTATCGCTAAGCACAAACACTGATCAAAATAAAGAAGTTTAAAATTAAAAAAATGCATATTTGTTTTTTTGTAGTGGTCACCGACGACGACGACGACTCCCAGTCTAGAGCGCCGACTCCTACCAATTGTTTTTGTTGCACAGTACGACTGAAGAGCTCCCAATTCATAAGGGAGATGGCGGTTATTGATGAATCTCAGTCCGAATTTACGTCTCGTCACAGTCTGGAATGGAAGTTTTTATTTCTCGATCATAGGTGAGACTGATTAAATCTATGAACTGCTGCATTTATAAGCCCATTGAAATATTACGTTTTATGGCATTACATTATCTGTCTTCAATTTATTTAATAAAAATACACCTGGCACTGCTGACAATTCATCCCTCATCGACACCACTTCTAATTAGGGGAGAAGTTTTATGCATTTTGTCTATAGTTATGCAATTCTTTTACATTAACATTTGTCCTAGTAGCAAATAACATTTTACAATAAGAGGTTTAAGTTAATGTAGAAGATTCCCCTTTAGGATTTCCAACACGAGACTGGGAAATAATACTTGTAGGGAAAATTAAGAGCAAAGAAGGTTCAAGATCATCTTTTGTAGATCTGATGATGATTCTTTGATGGTGGGTGCCAAGATCCTTCTAGGATCTCTTGTTGGTTAATATAAAAAAAATCATGTTTCCTTGAAACACTGTTTTTCCCTCTATACAATCTATGTAATGTAATATAAATTAATGTCCCTTGGTTTTTGAGAGATTTCCCCTTGGTGTCACTCCAATTTGACAATCATCCCAAAAAGACCCCAGAAAAATTGAAAAGAACCCCTGGTTTATGTCCCGGGGTTTTGGTATGACACCTCAAAGTGTTATGCATTAGAACAGCATCACAGCCAATTGTTATTCCAAAATCAATGTCATAAATGGAAGTCAAGGTACATGAATTTATTGATCATAATTTCTTTAGTATATGAGACATTTAATCAAAACCAGGTGTTGGATTGTATGAAGTTCAAAGTTCAAATCATGTTACTGTTGTCATAACTTCTTGCTGCAAAAGAATTTTTTGTCTTACTTTATTTACTAAAATATGTGATGAATAATCTTTTTTTATACTCCTCCTTCAACAAAGTCGTTACAAAGTATTCACTTTATCCATGTGTGTGTGTGTCTGTGCTGACTGTGGTTTCAGGAGCATATTTCAGAAGCTGGAGAAGGGGTATCCGTGATGCCCACACTTTGAATTAATCCAGTTTTCTTATTTAACTTTGAGGTAAGATTGCAAAAACACGACTGACTGTATATGGTATTTTTTCTTTTCAGGGCATCCCCAATCATTGGTTATCTCCCTTTTGAGGTACTCGGCACCTCAGGGTTTGATTACTATCATCCAGACGACCTTGAACCTTTAGTAAAATGTCATGAACAGTGTAAGTAGAATTAAAGACCTGTACATATTAAAATATTTGTCAACAGTAATTTATAACGCCACTAGATATTTTTTAAATCTGCACGCCTTATAGGCAGGTCTGCTGACTGGTTAACATGCGAGCGTTTTAAGCAGACTACCAGGATCCAATCCCGAAACTTGTTTAAGAATCGATTTTCATAGAAAGAATTTCGCTCCTGCTTAAACAAAGTTCTGCAATAAAACATGTAGCACGTTGGGTGGTCTGTGAAAAAAGTTCCAATGAAAGCATAAATATAACACTAATATGCTCTAGCACACATGTGGAGGTATTTAGCCAGGTGCCAAAGGACTACAAGGAAGGCAGCTCCTTGGAAATACCTAAATGATGTTGATTCTGTTGAATACTCAAATGATATTCAGGCCTCCAAACTCTAGATGGACACTAGTCAATTAAGCAACCTGGTTACAGGCGATAGACCGAGACCAGTTCTGCTGTAAATGAAAAAAGTTTTATAAAATGGTGTAGATCAGATTAATATTTGGCCTGTAATACTCATTTGCTATTTGCAAACTGTTGCAGTAACACAGATAAATAAGGGTATTCTGTGTTTCTATTGGTTTGTCTTCCTTAGACATTTAAATGTAGAAATGTTTCTGTTGGTTTGTCTTCCTTAGACATTTAAATGTAGAAATGTTTCTGTTGCAGTGATGCAGATTGGGAAGGGGATGTCCTGTTTCTATCGGTTTCTCACCAAAGGACAACAGTGGATTTGGCTGAAATCACGCTACTACATCACCTATCACCAATGGAACTCCAAACCCGAGTTTATCGTCTGTACGAATACGGTTGTTAGGTAATTAACGACACGGCTGTACCGTACTTGTCCTGCAATAAGCCAATGCCTGGTAATAAGCCCACCCATATCATATGCAGTTCAGATGAAATGCCAACAAGTGTTATTTCATTGTGCTATAATATGCACACCTCATTCTTGAACTGATCTTATAGTAGGATAAATACAGTATTTTAAAGTTTCCAAACCAAAGGCGACAGAGAAATCAGTGTTTATAATCTATCGCAGCATGTAGTATACATGTTGGATCAGTCGCAAACATTCCATATCATTTCACCAATGATAACCTATTGGCATACTGTATCCAGGGGAATGTTTTCGCTCAGTCAAATTTCACCCTTCGACAGAATAACTCCTATTCACCCAGTGTTAATTTTCGACCTTCACATTTAACTGCTATGCATATTTTGTTGCTTACTAATGTTCGCTGTTTTGATAAATTTGCCCTTATCATGGCAGGCGAAAATGTAAGCTGCAGCAAAATGTTCCCGGTATACAGTATACATATTGTCCACAGCTATTCTTCCTCTTACAAATCTGTGTTTGTTGTGTCTGTTTAAAGCTTGATATTGTGTTTATCTATTATTAGATAGCTTTGTGGTGATATTGATTTAAAGTTCTAAGAAATACAGATATTATCATACTTGCTATTAAAGTCGCTTTATTCTGGAAAGAAACTTATGAATTTTCACTTTCTTTACATTTTAAACCAAAAGCATTCCCTACTGGCTAAGTTTTAATCAGTGAAACAAAGTCACTTATTTTTTTTATAAATATGATAATTGATATATCATTGTAAGTATTTTTTTGACATCATTAGATTTTGTTATGTGGTTTCTTCATCTGAAAACATTTGAAATAATGGATACTGTGATGTTTACATAACTTTGACTAGTTCACTAATGTTTACATGTTTATTAACTAAGGCTATACTGGTGTTTATATCATTTTGACAAGTTGGCTGATAATCATATGTCTATTAACTAGCTATGCCGATGTTCGTGCCCATGTGAGAAAAGAAAATGGTGAGGAAGGTCAAAATGCTCCAGAGAACAGGAAAAGGACACAGAGTCCATCAATGTCATCTGTGACCTCGGTACTTTCCAGCCACTCGGGTACGTACTTTCAGTAGGGCCCTGCATCAGAGAATCGGGTGCCCTTTAGTTACCACAGTTTCTGTCTGTCTGTCTACTTTCCTTTCAGGAGATTATCTTAGAATCCTATTTTGCAGGGTCGCATTCGCATATCCCGGTTGAAATGGTACAGGTGGCGCAAACTTATTCTTCTATAAACGAACACACTTGCACTGAACTGTAGGCAGAGCAAAGAAAGGCACAGTTTCGGAGAAGAAATAACAATATACAAAATGTATCAAAAATAATATGTCCTTCTTTCACGTATCCACTAAATTATGTAACATATCTTAAAATCTGCAACTGGATTGTCATTGTTTTATAAAGAAATGCAACCTAGCAATAGTGAGCATTTAAGTTTTGGTCGGGCACATCTGGACCCCTCAATCTGCATGTGCTCATTATTCCTGAGGTCAGCCTCGGTTCAGATCTGTGCCTGTCGTTTTCTTTCAGGTTCAACCGTTTCAGCTGGTTGAACTGGATACACCAAAGGGGCCCGGAAGTCAGAAATTTCTGAACCTTCATAATGTGTGACATTGTAATATGAAGATGTGCTTAAGTTTTTAACAAGTTGCTAAGGTTAAGGTCAAGATCCCTGTTACTATAAATAGAACATATCTTAAGCAAGCTCAAAGTCAAATGTTGGCGCTTCCTCAAAAATGATAGTTGGAAGAGATAGTCACTGGGGAGGGAACATCTTAAAACCAGAAAATAATACCTTTTAATTTGTTTAATCTCAATTAATATTTAAAGCTTTTTAACTTGCACTGTCAGCTTTGAGAAGAAAAGAATACAAAACCTAGACAAGTGGTACATGTGTTCTGCTGCTAAACTGTTGAGAAGGGAAAGGGAAATAAAAACAAACCAAATACATTATTTTCCAGGTAAGACATCTGACAAAGACAATCTGGACAACGCACCACACTCAACAAGTATCAAAGATCCCACAGGATCTGTAACGCCACAGCTACAGCAGTTGCTTCAACAACGTATCAACCAGCAAAAGGCACTTGAACAGCAGCAACAGTTGTCTACACAGATTCAACTGCTTCCCCAGCCTAGCTTGGTGACTGGTCTCCTAGCTGGCAAGGTCACCACCTTCACCAACCTTCCATCTGGCTTGGGGGTAAATGCTCCTCATTGTTGTCATGGTTATTCATTCAAACAATCTTTAGATACAGATATGAATGCAAATAAACATTCATGATTATTCATCAAACCAATCTCATGTTGAAGCTCAGATGTTCTGCTCTGGCTCATTTCCTATTCAAGTCAGAAATGACGTAATATTATAAATGGTCTTTGCCTAAACCTTATTGCAATTACAGTTTAATATGAGAGTTTTCTTGTTGATCCCATCATAATAGATTGGCAAGTTACAAATAGAAAGATGGTTTGAGCATATGGCTTGGGTTTTATCATGATGAAAATTTCATAAATGCATGTACCTTCAACTGATATCATTAAAGTGTAGACATATTAATAGACACAGTTTGTATACGACCGTCAAATTTGACGGTAGTATTATGGTTTGGCGATGTCCGTCCGTCCGGCGTAAACTTTCTTTGTCCGGCAATCTCCTCCTTTTTTTTGACCGATCTCTTTGAAACTTGGTATACATGATAATCATGATATGAAGTTGTGTCTCCCTTAAAAGAATTTTGATTCGACGATATTTGCAAAATTTATTGCCTTTTGTTCATTTCAGTATTTGATTTTTTGTCTGAAGATTTTCTCCTACATTTTTTATAGCATATAAGCTAACCACTCTTAGAATGATGCAGATCCTATTTCAATGTAAGAAAGTATATAACGCTATATGGCATTCAAAGGGCGTATTTTGTTCCGCCCCGCAGTACTCTTGTTGTTATTGATGTTTGTTCCGGTGCCTAATGTATCAAACAAGATTTCTTTCGACTTTGTCTGGTTAAGAGACTACATTTTCCGTAGTCTGGTAATGTCGTCACATATTTTGAATTACAGCTCACTCAACAAGTAAAGACACAGTCTGTGCCGTCCCCCCATTGTAACCTGCCTGTGATGACTGTCATCCCCACAAAACAGCCTTCACCGGTACGTATCCTCTTAACAAATAACACATTGCTCCTAACATACAAAACAGCCTTCCCCGGTACGTATTCCCTTAACAAGTAATACATTGCTCCTGCCCCTACAAAACAGCCTTCACTGGTACGTATCCTCTTAACAAATAACACATTGCTCCTGACCCTACAAAACACCCTTCACCGGTACGTATCCTCTTAACAAATATCTCATTGCTCCTGACCCTACAAAACAGCCTTCACCGGGACGTATTCCCTTAACAAGTAATACATTGCTCCTGCCCCTACAAAACAGCCTTCACCGGTACGTATTCCCTTAACAAGTAATACATTGCTCCTGACCCTACAAAACAGCCTTCACCCGTACGTATCCTCTTAACAAATAACACATTGCTCCTAACATACAAAACAGCCTTCCCCGGTACGTATTCCCTTAACAAGTAATACATTGCTCCTGCCCCTACAAAACAGCCTTCACCGGTACGTATCCTCTTAACAAATAACACATTGCTCCTAACATACAAAACAGCCTTCACCGGTACGTATTCCCTTAACAAGTAATACATTGCTCCTGCCCCTACAAAACAGCCTTCACCGGTACGTATTCCCTTAACAAGTAATACATTGCTCCTGACCCTACAAAACAGCCTTCACTGGTATGTATCCTCTTAACAAATAACACATTGCTCCTAACATACAAAACAGCCTTCACCGGTACGTATTCCCTTAACAAGTAATACATTGCTCCTGACCCTACAAAACAGCCTTCACTGGTACGTATCCTCTTAACAAATAACACATTGCTCCTGACCCTACAAAACAGCCTTCACCGGTACGTATCCTCTTAACAAATAACACATTGCTCCTGACCCTACAAAACAGCCTTCACCGGTACGTATCCTCTTAACAAATAACACATTGCTCCTGACCCTACAAAACAGCCTTCACCGGTACGTATCCTCTTAACAAATAACACATTGCTCCTGACCCTACAAAACAGCCTTCACCGGTACGTATCCTCTTAACAAATAACACATTGCTCCTGACCCTACAAAACAGCCTTCACCGGTACGTATCCTCTTAACAAATAACACATTGCTCCTGACCCTACAAAACAGCCTTCACCGGTACGTATCCTCTTAACAAATAACACATTGCTCCTGACCCTACAAAACAGCCTTCACCGGTACGTATCCTCTTAACAAATAACACATTGCTCCTGACCCTACAAAACAGCCTTCACCGGTACGTATCCTCTTAACAAATAACACATTGCTCCTGACCCTACAAAACAGCCTTCACCGGTACGTATCCTCTTAACAAATAACACATTGCTCCTGACCCTACAAAACAGCCTTCACCGGTACGTATCCTCTTAACAAATAACACATTGCTCCTGACCCTACAAAACAGCCTTCACCGGTACGTATCCTCTTAACAAATAACACATTGCTCCTGACCCTACAAAACAGCCTTCACCGGTACGTATCCTCTTAACAAATAACACATTGCTCCTGACCCTACAAAACAGCCTTCACCGGTACGTATCCTCTTAACAAATAACACATTGCTCCTGACCCTACAAAACAGCCTTCACCGGTACGTATCCTCTTAACAAATAACACATTGCTCCTGACCCTACAAAACAGCCTTCACCGGTACGTATCCTCTTAACAAATAACACATTGCTCCTGACCCTACAAAACAGCCTTCACCGGTACGTATCCTCTTAACAAATAACACATTGCTCCTGACCCTACAAAACAGCCTTCACCGGTACGTATCCTCTTAACAAATAACACATTGCTCCTGACCCTACAAAACAGCCTTCACCGGTACGTATCCTCTTAACAAATAACACATTGCTCCTGACCCTACAAAACAGCCTTCACCGGTACGTATCCTCTTAACAAATAACACATTGCTCCTGACCCTACAAAACAGCCTTCACCGGTACGTATCCTCTTAACAAATAACACATTGCTCCTGACCCTACAAAACAGCCTTCACCGGTACGTATCCTCTTAACAAATAACACATTGCTCCTGACCCTACAAAACAGCCTTCACCGGTACGTATCCTCTTAACAAATAACACATTGCTCCTGACCCTACAAAACAGCCTTCACCGGTACGTATCCTCTTAACAAATAACACATTGCTCCTGACCCTACAAAACAGCCTTCACCGGTACGTATCCTCTTAACAAATAACACATTGCTCCTGACCCTACAAAACAGCCTTCACCGGTACGTATCCTCTTAACAAATAACACATTGCTCCTGACCCTACAAAACAGCCTTCACCGGTACGTATCCTCTTAACAAATAACACATTGCTCCTGACCCTACAAAACAGCCTTCACCGGTACGTATCCTCTTAACAAATAACACATTGCTCCTGACCCTACAAAACAGCCTTCACCGGTACGTATCCTCTTAACAAATAACACATTGCTCCTGACCCTACAAAACAGCCTTCACCGGTACGTATCCTCTTAACAAATAACACATTGCTCCTGACCCTACAAAACAGCCTTCACCGGTACGTATCCTCTTAACAAATAACACATTGCTCCTGACCCTACAAAACAGCCTTCACCGGTACGTATCCTCTTAACAAATAACACATTGCTCCTGACCCTACAAAACAGCCTTCACCGGTACGTATCCTCTTAACAAATAACACATTGCTCCTGACCCTACAAAACAGCCTTCACCGGTACGTATCCTCTTAACAAATAACACATTGCTCCTGACCCTACAAAACAGCCTTCACCGGTACGTATCCTCTTAACAAATAACACATTGCTCCTGACCCTACAAAACAGCCTTCACCGGTACGTATCCTCTTAACAAATAACACATTGCTCCTGACCCTACAAAACAGCCTTCACCGGTACGTATCCTCTTAACAAATAACACATTGCTCCTGACCCTACAAAACAGCCTTCACCGGTACGTATCCTCTTAACAAATAACACATTGCTCCTGACCCTACAAAACAGCCTTCACCGGTACGTATCCTCTTAACAAATAACACATTGCTCCTGACCCTACAAAACAGCCTTCACCGGTACGTATCCTCTTAACAAATAACACATTGCTCCTGACCCTACAAAACAGCCTTCACCGGTACGTATCCTCTTAACAAATAACACATTGCTCCTGACCCTACAAAACAGCCTTCACCGGTACGTATCCTCTTAACAAATAACACATTGCTCCTGACCCTACAAAACAGCCTTCACCGGTACGTATCCTCTTAACAAGTAATACATTGCTCCTGACCCTACAAAACAGCCTTCACCGGTACGTATCCTCTTAACAAATAACACATTGCTCCTGACCCTACAAAACAGCCTTCACCGGTATGTATCCTCTTAACAAATAATACATTGCTCCTGACCCTACAAAACAGCCTTCACCGGTACGTATCCTCTTAACAAATAACACATTGCTCCTCACCCTACAAAACACCCTTCAGCCTCCCCTGATATAAATCCTCTTCAAAAGGTAGCGATCATCCCTCTGACCCCACAAAACAAGTTATCACTCAGCCCTCTAACCCCACAAAATAAGTTATTGTTCAGCCCTCTTACCCCCACAAAACAAGATATCGCCCAGCCCTCAGATCCGTCAAAAAAAGTTGTCATTCAGCCCCCAGACAGCGGCTGACCCCAACAAAAATCACTCCAGCCTATAACCCTACAAAACAAGTTATCACTCGGCCCTCTGACCTCCACAAAACAATTTATCACTCTGCCCTCTTACCCCCACAAAACAAGGTATCACCCAGCCTTCTGACCCCACAGAACTAGTTAGGGCCCCGTATCGGAGATACAGGTGCCCTATATAGTAATCACTCTGTCTGTCTGTCTGTCTGTCTGTCCGTCCACAAATTTTGTTCCTGGCTGATAACTTTGGTATTTATTGACCGATGTACATGAAAATTGGTCAAGATGTTCAGTTCACAAAAATACACATTGAGGTAAAAAGTCAAGGTCAAAGGTCAAGGTCATTAGGTTCAAAGGTCAAGGTCAAATTTTACATATTTTCACTGATGAACATTTTGCCATGACATTATGAAGCAAGGTTGATCAGAATTAAACAAGAAGTAAACTAACCAAAGGTCAAGGTCATCGTGTCAGGGGTCAAGGTCATTTTTTTTAGCTTTTCACTGGTGAACATTTCGCTATGACATTATGGAGCAAAGTTGTTCGGAATTTCACAAAGAGACACACTGAGGTAAAAGTCGATGTCAAAGGTCAAGGTCATTAGATTCAAAGGTCAAGGTCAAATTTTGTATCTTTTCACTGATGAACATTTTGTTATGACATGATGAAGCAAAGTTGATCAAAATTAAACAATGAGTCAACTGACCAAAGGTCAAGGTCATTGAGTCAAAGGTCAATGTTAAATTTTGTATCTTTTCACTGGTGAACATTTCGCTATGACACTTTGATGCAATGTAGCTCAGAATTAAACAAGTAGTCAATTGACCAAAGGTCAAGGTCACTGGGTCAAAGGTGAAGGTTAAATTTTCTACCTTTTCCCTGCTGAACGTTTTGTTATGACTTTATGAAACAATGTTGTTCAGAACTTAACACAGAGTGAACTGACCTTAGGTCCAGGTTACGGGGTCCAAAGGGTCAAGGTCAAGTTTTTGTATTTTTCACTGATGAACATTTTGTTATGATATTAAGAAGCAAAATTGGTCGGAATTAAAGAATAAGTCAACTGACCAAAGAGCAGGGTCACTGGGTCAATGGTCAAGCTCATTTGGGTACAAAGGTCAAAGACAAAGTGGATCTCTGACTTTGACCCTGGCTGTTGATTGAGGAGGTATATAAGGTGAAATAAAACAAATCAAAGCTAACAAATGAGTATTGCACCAGTATTTACATTTCTGTTAGCCAAGCAAATATGGAGGTGGAAGGAAACAAGACTCACATCATAGTACATGTAAAATGTATATTTTGCTTCCTTGCGATTCTTTTTGAAGTCCAAATATCAAACGTCAAGCTCAGCTATATGGGCAGATTGCTTCTTGATGATTATGGGGGATATATTGCCACAAGACTGGGCCCTTACTGACCTGTCAGTGTTCTAGTTATCACTCAGCCCTCTGACCCCACAGAACAAGTTATCACTCAGCCCTCTGATCCCACAGAACATGTTATCACTCAGCCCTCTGACCCCACAGAACAAGATATCACTCATGTCTCTGACCCCCAAAGAACAGCCTTCAGGAGTAAGTATCATCTTCACAAGATATTGTGTACAATAAAATGTCCTTGTCTGCTTTGTCTGTCAAATACACTTACTAGTTTTTTTGTCTGATGAACTAAAAATCTTAAAATGTCTTTTTTGTTTGATGATATTCATCTATCTGTCTTCTAAAATGAACTTTTCTTGCTCACATTAATATTTTCTGATGGAGTCTTTTTGTTTGTCAGGTAAACTTTATCAGTCTGTTTTGTCTGATGAACTTCTCTGATCTGTTTTGTGCGACAAACTAAGTTCTTTTGTGACAAAATGTTTAAGGTAAGTGTGATGACCTTACAAGCCAGTTTTATATGTCAGAAGAACTTTACCATCTTTGTCAGATGAACTTAACATGTTTATTTTGTGTGATAAACGTCACTTGTACATTTGGTTGTTTCAGGCTATCCAGGCTCAGCAGGTACAAATGACACCTGTCCAGCGTCAACTCCACAGTCAACTGCTACAGAAACACAAGCTCCTGCAGCAGGCTATCTTGAAGCAGCAGGAAGAGCTACAGCTTATTAACCAGCAGCTGTCCCTATTCCCGCATACGGTGCTGCCGGTTTTCCCTGTCACAGCCTCCATCGCATCGGTCACCGCAATGCCAGGTATACTTAAACTACTGACCATAAACTTATTGCGATAAACAGAATATGATTCATCAGTTTGATATGAATAATAAGGACTCAGTTAGTTTGTTTTGAACACAAACAGGAATTAAAAACTTATTTTGCGAGCTTTCGAAAACGTCTGTTTCCTTTATCAAGCAAAGAGTGTAAATGACCGGTGTCTCAATTCTAAACCGCTGAAAACAACTCTGACACTAAGCCCCAGTGGGCCGAATCAAGTCAAGTCAGCTGTCAAAAATCATACAGACAATTCACCCAATAGCACTAATACTGCAGGCAGTCAGGGGGACGGTTAACATGTTTACCTATTCAGCCCCTGATTGGATGTTTAGGTCAAGGTCATTGTTTGTGAAAATAGACTGTTGGGTAACAATCCTTATGTCGGACTCCTAAAGTCAAATATGTTTGTCAATGTGATTTATAGATATACAATAGGGATTAAACAAGTTTTAAGGTCAAAATAAAGGGTACCTGTTAGTAAAAATAGGGCTTTACGTTAAGACACATGACGGGGACCTTGCTGACCTGTCAGTGTTCTAGTTTTAAATAGTATGTAATATTTAAAGAAGATTTTTGTTATTTAATGGTACACAGATTTGTTTAAATATATTTTTGACTGCATCTTCTATAAATAACAAGTGAGCAATACAGGTCCATTGTACCTTTTGTTTTTAATAAGTACACCATCAGTAATGTTAAGATAAAAGATGACTTATTGTTGGTAATGTTGGATTTGTACAGGCATTTTGATGACAAGCGTACCGGCCCAGTCCACTCAGGCACCACTCACCTTCCAGCCAGCCCTGCACACCCCTGTACAGTCGGCCCTGGACCAACAACAGTACATTCCGTTGCAGTTCCTTCAGCAGGACAACGAGATACACTTTTCCAATGGCACATCTAGTACTGGTTTCTCACTCACATGACCCTGCTACACTCCATAGACTTGTTGCGGTCACAAAATAAGTTTTGACTACTTATATCACTGGGCCAAGTTTTAAGAGGCTTACTGTGTCTCTTGTATGGTGTAACTTGGGGCTTGCAAGTCAGCTACAGTTTCCCTCACGGACAACGGTAAAGACACTGGTTTCAAAAAAATGGCATAGTTATTGAATCGTGTTTCACTCCAGTGACCTATGGATGTCTGCCCTCTGTGTGAAAAACACTGGGGGTGCTGACTGTAAGGTTATGAGTGTGACAGTTCCAAAGTGGTTGAGAGGAGAGAAACTTACCTTCACCTGTTAAACCAGTTCATAGAATGGTTGGACCAGGCGGAAGACTGTCAACTGCCAGCACATCGTTATAACAGTGTGATTGGTCTCGTGTTGTAACACTAACTTGTGTAAGTGCTGGAGATCAGTCAAAGTGACGACACACTGGTTGACATTGACATCGCACCAGGTACAGCATCTTATCAAAGTCGGTTGTGAGATGAACGTTAATGTTGTCTTTGCTACCTGGTTGATAAAGTTCTCATCTCACGGATAAGAACAGCGTATGCAGCAGGGATATCGATGTCACAATATATTTGAAAACCGGTATATCACAATACATAGGCATATTGTATTGTATTGCAATTCAGATAAGAAATATCACTGTATCGCAATTTTTGTGTTGTAAATTCGCCAATTCCGACACATTCTAACAGATATGCCAATAATCATAAACAGTGTTATTGGTAGTAGTTGAAATCAGGTGAAATTTCATTATCAATGGTTGATATTATAAGAAAAAAGGAAATAGTTTAATATCCATATGATGTAAGATACGGTTCGATAAAATTCTGGCGACAATTTCTTTTTAGAAAAAACAATATATCGGGATAGGTATCGCAATACACATTCCTTCTGTATTGCAATATACTAGCGTGATTCACTGCAGTCATATTGTGACATCCCTAATATGCATTGGTCACTTTGTTGAGTCAAGTACGTAGAAGAATGAGTGCGATAGGACTGTCATCGAAAGTCGGATGGAATATTCCAGTCTGTTCATAGGATGAACGTGACAGTTTCCTACTGCAATCAATACGTTTAAAACATGCATTTTAGTTTTTCTACTGCAATCAACACATTTAAAACATGCATTTCAGTTTTTCTACTGCAATCAATACGTTTAAAACATGCATTTTGACCTAGCCTCAACTACTGTTTAACATGAATGTCCCCTCAATGAAGTGTTTATGAAGTGTTTATGTGTGTATGCTTAGTGTATACATGGGATGGCCTACAACCTATTAGCTGGCCAGGTGTACATGTGTGTATGTCTAGTCATATAGTGTATGTGAGGGCTGGCCAACTATACACATGTGTAAATGTCTGGTGTAGGTGAGGTTCCTGGCTTTGCATTTATGTATGTATGTGAGGTACTCTGGTGTACTTGTATTTATGTGTAATGTATGTTAGTACGTCACTTGGGCGTTCTGGTGTAAATGTAGGTATATCTAATGTATGTAAGTACGTCACTTCGGTGTACCGGTGTAAATGTAAGTATATCTAATGTATGTAAGTACGTCACTTCAGCGTACCAGTGTAAATGTAGGTATATCTAGTGTATGTAAGTATGTCACTTGGGCATACCAGTATAAATGTAAGTATATCTAATGTATGTAAGTACGTCACTTCGGCGTACCAGTGTAAATGTAGGTATATCTAATGTATGTAAGTTCATCACGTGGACGTACCGGTGTAAATGTTAGTATATCTAATGTATGTTAGTACGTCACTTGGGAGTACTGGTGTAAATGTAAGTATATCTAATGTATGTAAGTACGTCACTTCGGCGTACCAGTGTAAATGTAGATATATCTTATGTATGTCGGTACGTCACTTGGGCATACCAGTGTAAATGTAGGTATATCTAATGTATGTAAGTACATCACGTGGACGTACCAGTGTAAATGTAAGTATATCTTATGTATGTCGGTACGTCACTTCGGCGTACCAGTGTAAATGTAGGTATATCTAATATCTAATGTATGTAAGTACATCAAGTGGACGTACCAGTGTAAATGTAAGTATACCTTATGTATGTCGGTACGTCACTTGGGCATTCCAGTGTAAATGTAGGTATATCTAATGTATGTAAGTATGTCACTTGGGCGTACCAGTATAAATGTAGGTATATCTAATGTATGTAAGTATGTCACTTGGGCATACCAGTATAAATGTAAGTATATCTAATGTATGTAAGTACGTCACTTCGGCGTACCAGTATAAATGTAGGTATATCTAATGTATGTAAGTATGTCACTTGGGCGTACCAGTATAAATGTAGGTATATCTAATGTATGAAAGTACGTCACTTAGGCGTACCGGTGTAAATGTAAGTATATCTAATGTATGTAAGTACGTCACTTCGGCGTACAGGTGTAAATGTAAGTATATCTAATGTAAGTAAGTACGTCACTTCGGCGTACCAGTGTAAATGTAGGTATATCTAATGTATGTAAGTATGTCACTTCGGTGTACAGGTGTAAATGTTAGTATATCTAATGTATGTAAGTATGTCACTTCGGTGTACATGTGTAAATGTTAGTATATCTAATGTATGTAAGTATGTCACTTCGGCGTACCGGTGTAAATGTAGGTATATCTAATGTATGAAAGGATGTCACTTCGACGTACCGGTGTAAATGTTAGTATATCTAATGTATGTAAGTACGTCACTTCGGTGTACAGGTGAAAATGTAGGTATATCTAAGGTATGTAAGTATGTCACTTGGACGTACCAGTGTAAATGTAGGTATACATAAATGTATCTAATGTATGTAAGTATGTCACTTCGGCATACCGGTGTAAATGTAGGTATATCTAATGGATGTAAGTACGTCACTTCAGCGTACCGGTGTAAATGTAGGTATATCTAATGTATGTAAGTATGTCACTTGGGCATACCAGTATAAATGTAGGTTTATCTAATGTATGAAAGTATGTCACTGCGGCGTACCGGTGTAAATGTAAGTATATCTAATATATGTAAGTACGTCACTTCGGCGTACCAGTGTAAATGTAGGTATATCTAATGTATGTAAGTATGTCACTTCGGCGTACCAGTATAAATGTAGGTATATCTAATGTATGTAAGTACGTCACTTCGGCGTACCAGTCTAAATATAGGTATATCTAATGTATGTAAGTATGTCACTTCGGCGTACCAGTATAAATGTAAGTATATCTAATGTATGAAAGTACGTCACTTCGGCATAACGGTGTAAATGTAAGTATATCTTATGTAAGTAAGTACGTCACTTCGGCGTACAGGTGTAAATGTAAGTATATCTAATGTATGTAAGTACGTCACTTCGGTGTACAGGTGTAGATGTAAGTATATCTAATGTAAGTAGGTACGTCACTTCGGCGTACCAGTGTAAATGTAGGTATATCTAATGTATGTAAGTACGTCACTTCGGTGTACAGGTGTAAATGTTAGTATATCTAATTTATGTAAGTATGTCACTTTCGGCGTACTGGTGTAAATGTAGGTATATCTAATGTATGAAAGTATGTCACTTCGGTGTACCGGTGTAAATGTTAGTATATCTAATGTATGTAAGTACGTCACTACGGCGTACCTATGTGTATGCCTTGTGAGGGCTGGCCAACTGAATACTAATGTGTGTATATATATATATATATATGATAAATGAGTCGAACTTAAAATGTTACCTGGTGCAACATTTCATAATTCTGATTAAACATATATATATATGTGCTATTATGTGAAGTCAAGGGATATTGTAATAATTACAATCATTTGTTGATATATAATTATGTTATTACTAAATTATTTATTTCAATTATAAGGATAAAAATATTATCTCATTGCTAACACCAACGAGACTGTTATTTCATTGTTAATATCATATTACGAACATATGTGCTGTATGTTTTTATTAAGTAGTTGATAGAAAATGTCCTTTTAAGGTAAAAAGGGTACCAACAAGATGTATCATTACCACTGTCGCTATTGTGAATTTTTGTCTATTAATCCTTTTCAAAAGAAGTATTCCATACAAAATCACATGTTGCCATGCATTTTACTGAATTATTCAAAATGAGTGTCAATTTAAATGTATTGGCCTCAAAACCTTGAAAGTTTTACAAGGGGAAGTAACTGTAAGTCAGTAAACCTTTGAATGGAACTCTTCTCCAGGATTATAACTGATTCAGTAGTACCCTTTACCTTAACAATTCAGTTTTTAAGAATTAACTAGAAAGAAAAGGAGTTCCAAGTTCTTGCTGTGCATTTTATATTAAAATACACGGAATTTGTGATTCTGGACCTGGCAAATGAACTTCAAATATTGCTCTGCTGCATTTGTAAATTCGTAAATTCTTAGAAGTTTCTAATGGACTTCCTGCATATATTTGCTCCATTCCAAATGATATTAATATATTTTTCTTCAAATTTGGTATGGTAAAGAAAAAAAAATATGTACAAAATTTTAACAAAATTTATAATTTTTTCTTCTAGCAAAACACTGTTTCATTTCCTAATAATGTAGGCTTTCTAACACTTACAAAAACACTACATTATTCCGAAAAGATTTCAAATGGCCTATTTTACTCTCTATCCATTGTCATTAGGGTTGTCTACAAGGTGCTCATGATGGCTCTTGTCATTCTCGGCTACAAACTACAAAGTTCATTCAAATCTATGACAGGTTGATACAAGACTATTACCTCTGTTTACTTAAGGTTATCCGTCATCAACATTCAAAGGGTACTCTCTCTTTTACATTCTGTGCATTGCTGGAATTTGTCATGAAGAAATTATAGGCTCTGTATGTGCTATCTTGGGGATGATACAAGTAGACAAGATTGATCCTTTGATGTACATTAAAAGAATCGCAGAGCAATGTAATGGTAGGATTTACAAGCCTGGAAGTCAGATTTTGCTCCTTTGTCATCTGTAATCAAGGGATACGTATTGCCTGGAGAAAGGGTGTTTATTTTTCCACCTGAAATCAATCTAATAACAAACCATGTGCCTGTGATTGTATCATGATAAATATTCCAGGAGTACAGAGAATGAAAGAGAACATAGTCCCTGGAATTTTGAGGATGAAAGTTATCCTAAATAATAATATTAATGTTTGGCTGTAATTATATATTTACAAATATTTTGTACATGTGTGTTTTGTACATATGCATGTGTGTTTTGCATGTATGTGTGCATAGATATTTTGTGATGTACTTTCTATGTACAATGCATGTGTATATCTATGTAAAAGTGTTGTGCGTACATGAATTTATGTAATGTGTGTGTGTGTATGTTGGAGAGTTACGTTTATTTAATTAATTAACAATGATTAGAGGCAGAACTGGTTAATAGCTGCAGATATTTAGCAGAACCGTAATTCTGCCTCTTTTCATTTGGAAGGAATGAGTGAGTGAGGGGTTTTATATCAGAAAAACATTTTTTGGGCATTTCACATCGGCATTCAGAAACTAATTTATTTTGGACATTTATAACTAAGAGTTAGATTAATTATAAATGACAAATTAAGCTTGTTACATTTACATCAAAAATTGTGATTCCAGATTTTTTTTGTAATTAACTGAATATTGTAAATTAATGAAGTCTGCTCTGAATATAATCAAAATTCAGAAGGAAAAAGTCCTGGAGTATTTAATTATTCAAAATAACCAATACCTCTACATTTAAATGTAGAAGTATTTGCCGTTTCTGAAGTCAGGCTAACTTGTAAAGTTTAGTGAAGGCCCTTAAGAACTCTGCTAATGTTTACCAACAAGAAAACAAGAGAATGCTAAGGTAAGCTCCGTCTCATAATGCGAAAACTGAGCACAGCCCTTATTGTAATTAATGAATATATTAGCCAATCAAATTGACATATCAGTTTTATAAATTGTTATTGATTGATGTTAAAAACTAATTTCCTATGTGTTAATTAATCAAACAAGAGGATTCTCTGAAAGTTTGTTATTGAAATATCAGTGTCTGACTGTTACTTATTATCAAAAAGTGATATTGAATTTCGGATGAATTTTTATCAAATCATTTCTATTTAAGGGTTAATATCTATTCTTGTTAATTCAATATTATATTTATTTTAATAGTCCAGTTGGAATTGAATTTACATGGTTGTATATTTGAAAGATATGATATTACGGATGAAAAATTCTAGTCCTGGATCTACAAGCTCTTGACTGTGTTGTGTCTCCATATGATTTTTTTTTAAATTTGTGAACTTTAGATTTGTATTCTCCATGAGGAAGATAAGGCCAATTAAAATGCTTAGATTTTCCTCATTTAAAGAAGAGTGAAATGTATCCAGTCAAAATTACATTTGCTGTGTTGCAAAGACAATCATGTACCTTAAGTAATCAAAACAGAGCATGTAAGGTACATACATATCTAGAAAATGTATGCTCCATACAGGTAAGTTAGAATAGATTTGGTACCTACAGGTAAGCTGGAATCAGTTTGGTCCATGCATGTAAGCTAGAACCAGTTTGGTCCATACATGTAAGCTAGAATCAGTTTGGTCCATACATGTAAGCTAGAATCAGTTTGGTCCATACAGGTATTAAGCTGGCATTTTTATGGTCCATACAGGTAAGCTAGGATATATCTGGTCCATACAGGTAAGTTTAAATAGGTATGGTCCAAACAGGTAAACTAGAATATCTATGATCCGTACTGATTCACCATTGGGGCAAGTGCAATTCATTGTTGGTTAAAAAGAAAGTGTGTGGTTCATGGTGTAATAAATCACAATAAATGTATATCTGTTTGTGTGAATTTGGGAGAAAAATAAACTGAATAAAAAATATGTTGTGAGTATTTATTCGGACAAATGAGGAACATGTAGCTGTTGTTTCTTTCACAAAATTAAATTCTCGAAATTAAGTGTGGAGGAATAATGAAAATGACTAATTGAAAAAAAACATCATATATGAATAGTAGATCATATAATGTAATAAAAAAATAAAGTGAATTGAAAAATTGCTGAAAGATATTAGTGTTATTATTAATATAAGACTGATTGTAAAAGGCTCGACAGTAAAACGCAATAAGAAATGAAGTCTGTAGCAGACGACATCAAACATTTAAGTAAATTCTATTCATAGTAGCAATGACATAATTTTGGACTGCAGAATGTTGAAACATGAACTTGTACAAGATGTCATATTTGTGAACAAGTGTGTAAAGTTTTATAATAACAAACAGATAAGAAATGAAGTCTGTAGAACGGTGATGCCGTTGGGGCACGACAATGTATATTCATTATTATACCCTTGACGACTCGTCGTGTTATAGCTAGTATAATGATTGTCATTTTTTTATATTTAAATATTTAGTGCTGTTATAAAAATCTATACATGTTAAAAACATAAACCACATTCTCGTAACAGTGATTTTAACGTGTTTCTAACTCATCAATAACTCTATAGGTTTTATGAAATGGCACATCATCTAAGGTTCATAGTGATGGGCAATCGGTTTGAAATCATAATCGACAATCGGTTTGTAATCGGAAGTAGTTAACTGATTGATGATCGATTGCATAATCGGTTCTTAATTTAATAATAATATGCAACATTTATATAGCGCCCTATATAATTTGTAAAATTACTCTAAATCGCTTTATAACATATGGATAATAGGAATGGTTATAATTGTGAAAACAAAAAACAAAGGCTTGCAATCACTTTTATACATTTAAGCCGTAACCCTCCCAAAGCATCTGTTTCCATAGGTCACAGTACGAGATTTTGGGACACACAACAAAGATTCTGACTCCGACTGCAGGGATCGTGACGGCTGATACAGGGTAACAAGCTCCTGTAGGTACTAAGGAGCTGTTCCAGTCAGTGCCTTGTATGTGTACAACAGAATTTTGTACTGCAACCTGTATTGTACAGGTAACCAGTGCAACAAATAAAGCACAGGTGTGATGTGCTCTCTCTTTCGAGTACGAGTAACTAGCCGTGCTGCAGTGTTCTGGACCCTCTGCAGACGAATAGTTAGTTTGTAAGATATACCACAGAGCAGGGCGTTACCATAATCCAACCGAGAGGTTATAAACTGCCAAATACAGCCGATGTTCCTGATCTGGTAGTAACAGGATTTGGCAATAGCGTTCACTTGTTTCTCCATGTTCAGTGAACTATCAAATACCCCTAGGTTTTTAACAGCTGGAACAGTCTCAATAGTTCTGGCACCGACCTTGAGCTGGAGAGCCATTGTTTGCTGACACTTTGGGGAAAATACAATTAGTTCCGTCTTTTCCTGATTAAGCTTAAGAATGTTGGCGTTCATCCAGATACTGATATCTGTCAGACAAGCTTCCAGACTTTCTGAAACTGAATTCCAACTGTCCTGTGGTTTGATGACCATGTAAATTTGTGTGCCATGGGCATAGCAATGATAGCGAAGGCTATGGCGACGACAAATCTCTCCAACTGGTTTCGAGTACATACAATATTTTCTTGGTCCTTGAGGAACCCCGAAAACTAGTACTTTGTCCTGTGAGGTGGAAGATCCGATGGCAACACACTGTCGTCGTTCAATCAGGTAAGACTATCCAGCATAGTGCGGTATCAGTCACTCCATAAGAGTGGAATGGGACTGCATACCCACATAAAGTAAGAACACTACTAATACATCAATAGACAGAGTTGTTTACTATACACTACTGTTACATCAATATACAGAGTTGTTTGCTATACACTACTGTTACATCAATAGACAGAGTTGTTTACTATACACTACTGTTACATCAATATACAGAGTTGTTTGCTATACACTACTGTTACATCAATAGACAGAGTTGTTTACTATACATTAAGTTTCATTATTTTATAATGAATGGATTTCAAGCAATTTTTATGCACTTTTACCAATCATATAATAAAAGACATAAGAATATAAATATATGACTTTCAATACATTCTTTACATTGAAAACATTAACACTTTGATTTCAATGAAGAACCGATTATATCGATAATTAGAATTGGAAAGGTCAAACCGATCGATTTTCGATTATAATCTATCATCAGCCCATCACTTAAAGTTCATTTATCAATCTAGGTCACTCTGCTTTCGTTTTCTTATTAGCTCACCTGGTCCGATGGACCATGGTGAGCTTATGCCATACCGTAGCGTCCATCGTATGTCCGTCCGTCCGTCAACTTTTCCTTTAAAACGCTACTAGTCCTTAACGGCCAAAATTTGACTAAATTTGGTCTGGAGCATCATGAGGCCAAGGGGACTCAATTTTGTATAAACGGTGGATGTGGCCCTCTTGGGGCAGAGGAGCGGTGCCCAATAGGGGAAATATAGCAAATTCTTTAATATCCTTCTTCTGTAGGATTGAAAGGATTTATTCCATATTTGGTCTGAAGCATCCTTGAGTAAAGAGGAACCAATTTTGCATAAGCCATATGTCTGGCCCCCTAGGGGCCTGAGGAGTGGGGCCGAATAGGGGAAACATTGCAAATTCTATAAAATCCTTCTTTTTCTGTAGGAATGAAAGGATTTGAATGGAAATATAGCAAATTCTTTAATATCCTTCTACTTCTGTAGGAATGAAAGGATATGTTCCATATTTGGTCTGAAGTATCTTTGGGTGAAGGAGAACCAATTTTGTATAAACAGTGGGTTTAGCATCCTAGGGGCTTGAGGAGTGGGGCCCAATAGGGGAAACATAGCAAATCATTCTTTAAAATCCTTCTTCTTCTGTGGAATGAAAGGATTTGGTCCATATTTGGTCTGAAGCATCCTTGGGTAAAGGGGAACCAATTTTGTAGAAATAGTGGGTGTGGCCCCCCTGGGACCTGAGGGGCGGGGCCCAATAGGGGAAATAGAAGTAAAACCTTTATAATCGTTCTTCTACCATAGGGATTAAGGGATTTTATCCTAATTTAATCTGGAGCATCCTTGGCCAAAAGGGACTTAATTTCTTATATGCCCCGGGGGCAGAAGGGAGGGGCCCAAAAGGGGAAACATAGCAAATTCTTAAAATACCTTATTCTTCTGTACGAATGACAGGATTTTGTCCAAATTTGGTATGAAGCATCCTTGGGTGAGGGGAACCAATTTTGTATAAATGGTGTGTCTAACCCTCCTGGAGACAGAGCCAAATAGGGGAAATAGAGGTAAAACCTTTTAAATCCTTCTTCTACCATAGGGATTAAGGAATTTTATCCTAATTTAGTCTGGAGCATCCTTGGGCCAAGGGGACTCAATTTTATATAAGCAGTGTGTGTGGTCTCCCAGGGGGCAGAAGGGTAGGGCCCATTAGGAGAAATAGAGGTAAAACCTTTAAAATCCTTCTTCGACCATCGAGATTAAGGGTTTTTACCCTATTTAGTCTGGAGCATCCTTGGGCCAAGGGGTCTCAATTTTGTATAATTTGTGGGTATGACCCCCCAAGGGGCATAGGGTTGGGGCTCTGTTTGAAGTTAGTTTTTGCTATATCTCAAGTACTGGATGGATCCTTCTGAACTTTTATATGTACTTACAGCACCTACCATAGAGTGCTATATCTTTACTTTATACCAATTATTATAAACATATTCAGGTGAGCGATACAGGCCCTCCCCGCCTCTTGTTCTTAAGCTGCTTAAGGATAAATCCATTATATCCAAATTACATAATCTAAATCCCAATGCTAAATTGCAATTGGGGTCTTGAAACAGGACTTATAAGGGGATTGAGATCTAGGGTAACGACTATCGTGTTGAATCATAGATGGTTTTTAATAATCACTAGATACATTATTAGATCACCTGGCTCGAAGGGTACTGATATTGGGCCTGTAGCATGCTGGGATTAAGGGCTACCAAGTTTGTTCAAATCAATGACCTTGACCAACTTTCAAGGTCACAAGGGTCAAATGTCTTAAAATCTTCAAAAGACATCTTGTTAATAACCAAAAGGCCCAAGGTAGTGATATTGGGCTTGTGGCATCGCTGGGATGAAGGGCTACCAAGGTTGTTCAAATAAATGACCTTGGCCCACTTTCAAGGTCACAGGGGTCAAATGTCTTAAATATTCACTCAACTTCTTCTGAATAACCAAAAGTCCCAGGGTACTGATATTGGGCCTGTAGCATGCTGGGATAAAGGGCTACCAAGTTTGTTCAAATGAATGACCTTAACCCACTTTCAAGGTCACAAGGGTCAAATGTCTTAAAATCTTCAAAAGACATCTTCTTAATAACCAAAAGGCCCAAGGTAGTGATATTGGGCCTGTGGCATCGCTGGGATGAAGGGCTACCAAGTTTGTTCAAATAAATGACCTTGGCCCACTTTCAAGGTCACAGGGGTCAAATGTCTTAAAATCTGCAAACAATTTCTTCTTAATAACCAAAAGACTGAAATTGGGCCTGTAGGATGCTGGGATGAATGACTACCACATTTGTTCTAATGAATGACCTTGACCCACTTTCAGCCTAATGTCCTTGTTCAACATTCAAGGTCACAGGCGTCATATGTTTAAATCTTTTAATTGGTTCCTATGAATCAAACACTGATATTCTGCCTGTGGTTGTATTTTAGTCCACTTTTAAGATTACAAGTGCGAGATTAATAGCAGGTGAGCGATGCAGGCCCATTGGGCCTCTTATTTTTCTTCAAGTTAACATATTTTATGTAAAGTTTGAATGATGTCACACTTACCCTCAATCATGAACAAAGCATCCAGTAAGTTCAATATGTAATGTTTGTTGTTCAGCCTGGGTTTCGAATAGCTGCAACCGGAGATGGACAAGAAATTGGACATTGTGAAGAAACTCAAGCTTACTGGCACACCACAGAAAATATACAAAAAAACTGCATTCATTCAGGTTAGTATTGGAGAAGGGATAACCTTAATCAGTAATTGTTTTTTATGCTCTGCGAAAAATAAGCACATAACGGCCATTGTCTGACCATGCATTTGTCCATTTGACTTGTTAGTCTGGACTGTAACTTCTGACTTGCTAG